CAGACTCTCGTTCGGCGAGAGGAAGCCAGGTGCGGAAAGCTGTAAACGCAAGAAAACGGTTAGTCATGTTTCCAGTCCAAACGTAACGAGTGGAAGCGTCTGTAAATGTGATAACGTAGCGTTCGCCGTTGAAACCATCCGCAGGTAAGTTGAGTATATCGCTATAAACCTTATCCATCAGATGATAATCTTCAGCTCCAGGGAAATGAGTCGGGAACGGCTCGTGCGGTAGATTTGCCGCAGGGCAGATGGTGCAGGGTGCCGGGCGATTCACCGGCTTCAGTTCGAGACCGCTCGGTAAGAGTAACGAATTCTTGTCAAGTACTGCAGCCTTGATCGTGTTGTTTAGCGTAGACTGCGACGGATGACCAAGTCGCTTATGCCATGTTTCTCCCGTGGCTTTGTGACCTTGTGCGCGCAGGTAATACTCGGCGTTAGCGAAGAACGACAACAGAAGCTGATGACCATCGGAGCGGATCTGATCGAAAGCAGGTGCGACGTAACGAGTAAGATTTGGTGGTGGAACACGAACCTCAACATCCACGTACTCGCCTGGAGCAAGTACTAACTTGCCGCTTTCTTGATCAGATGCTGCAGGTACAGGTTCAACTCCAACGAGACGACCCGAGTCAAGAATCTCCATATCAGCGACGCGTTGTTCAGCTTCAGCGAGAAGACGAGCAGCGCGTTCAGCAGGCGTCTCGCCCCAAGTTGTTTCATCGGGTTCGTCAGCCCCCCAGATGCCGTCATTAGTCGGCATGTTCGTCGGATCACCCCAACCTTCAACTGCAGCCATGTACTCCCGGGAGTTCTGAACATCATTCAAACCTTGATCGTCGAAGGTCAACATGACGGCGGCAGCTGTGGTTGAAGATGTCGGGACAACTCCCTCACGTGGAACTGTATCGTCGGTGTAATCAATGTCGTCGCGATGCTCCCAAGGACCAAGCGAGAGAATGTTATCAGAGTCGGCAGTAGTGCGCTCAGGTATGAAGTTCAAAACGAAAACACCGTTTTGCTCAACTGCCGTGCCGAGTTTCTTTTCACCGTATTTCAGAGTGAATTTTCCAGGTTCACCGAGAAGTGTAATCCCGTTCTTCATGAGCTGTGCAGATGCCATGAGGTTGAAGCCAAGCCGAGGGACCAAAAGAACTTCGTTCAGGTGAAGACTGAAGTCTTCTTCAACTGAGTCCAGAACAATACTTCCCATCCAGTGAGCTGTAAGTTGTTGGTTATTGGCGACCGTGACGACAATGGGATTCTCCAGACGGCGTTGATTCACGATGAAACGTGTCTCTGACGAACACATGTGCTGACCACAGCAACTGTCGAGGTACCAAGTATTGGGACCTGCAATAGTATGTGCAAGATTTGCATAGACCTCAGGTGGAATCGGTGTGTTGAGTTCGTTGTTGAACCGGTTGTGAATCCGCTCTTCAGCATCAGGATCATAAACCGTTGAAACTGATGTCATGCAATTAATAACTGCTTTTGTTTGTGTTTTGGCAGGTGCAGTAGTCGGCTTCGCAGAGGTCAGCTTCGCAGTATTCTGCTTCTCAGCGTCCGGCTTCTCTGCTTCCGGCTTCTTTGCTTCACTTGAAGAATCTTTATATTTCGATGCAGACCGCTTCCAAGATGGTTTGTCTTTCGACCAACAGGTATCAATAGTGTGTCCTGGTTTTCGACAAAAAGAACAAACGGGCTTGTGACGTGGATTAGAATAAAAACTGACTGTATTGTTTACCATCTTTTTCCCTCCTCGAGCGTTGTGCAGATCCATATCCTGCTGCTCGGCGATGAGAGCGGCACAGAGTGCCCCCTCGGACAACTGTGCTTGCATCCGAAGTATAGAGCGACACTGTCGCCATTCTGGTCCAAGACCCGCGAGTAGCACCGTGTGGAACATAGCGTCGGGGAAGTACCCTCCACACTTCTGAAGTTGATCGCGCAGATTTCGAGCGCGGTTAATATACTGCGTCACCTTCTCGCCGTTTGTCATTTGTATATTTGACAGCTGCGTCAACATTTTACTCTGGTTGACAGTATCCTTTGCCATGTGAACCCCTTGCAGGTATAACCAAGCTGCTTCAGCGGGGGCGGCACTGTTACGGAAAGAACGAATTCTGAGCTGTTCAGTCGGTGTCAGATTACGAACGAGAACTGTGTATGCAGTCAGCGACGCCGATCGAAATGTGGCTTGTTGAAGTGGTGACCCGTGAGATGGAAATGGTGCTGTGCCGTCATACAGCTGCCAGAACCCCGCGGTCTGAACATGAAGCTCAAACTCAAAGCTCCAGGTATAAAAATCTTGACCGTTAAAAGGCATTGTCGTTTTGATTTTCGTTGGATTTGCAGAAGCAGGAATATAATTTCCGGTACCGTCAGCTGATTGTAGCTGATAGAGTGATGGCCCTTGTGACCCTTGTTGTGTTTGTTGTCCTTGTCCAGCAGGACCAAAGGAGAAAGAGTTGTTCGACCCATCACTTCCTTGTGGCATCTGACCACGCTGATAACTGGAGCCATCAATGCTCATCGGAGTTGGAAACATCTGGTTAAGTGACAAGACGGCAGCATTAACACGTTGTTGAAGATTTGCTGGTTGGTAAGCACCTTGATATTGGTAAGGTCCAGTCGGAACGAAGTTAGACTGTTGTCCCGGTTGACTTGAAGAACCAGGGACTGCAGCTGCAGCTGTTGAGGCTGCTGATGCTGCTGTTGCGGCGGCTGCTGTCGATGATGCCGCTGCTGTAGTTGTGTGTACGGGCTGACTGCTCAATGGCATGCCGTACATCGGTTGTTGCTGATATTGTTGTTGTTGCTGTTGTTGTTGCTGCAGATGTGAATTATCAGCAGCTGGAGACGCTGTTGGGCGTGATGGGCTCGTAACAGAAGAGCCATTGTTGGACCTTGGAGATCCAGACATAGTTGTAGAGTAGGCAGGTGGAAGCTGTTATAATCCTAAGTTGCTCTGATACCATGTTAGAATTTGAAGTGAGTTTGAAGGATCGTAGTCTTAGGATGGTAGCTTCCTGTCGTAGCGGAAGTCTTATATGAGTGACTTGTAACAGGATCAATGTCTCTGAAATCAAGTATATGATAAAATGGCAAGCATACAGAATATATAGCTAGACTAAAGTACCTGTTCGCCTACTGTGCTGTATTTATTCGCGCTATTCCTGTTCTGAAACGGTACGTGACTATTCGCGATACCTACAGCTACTGCTGACGTCATCCTAGGGCGCGTAGCGCTTTGCTGACGTCAGTTTATCGGTACTTTTACTGTACTAACTATACTACACAAATTCCTTGAAGTGCATAAACCTCGATATTATCTCAACACTCCCCTTCACTTCTAGGAGTTCGGTGTAGTCATCCTGTTGACTCGGAAATACCACTGAGCTGGTTGCAGTGATGAAATTTCTGACGCGTCAGCTTCTTAGTAAGCGAATCAGCGGCCATGTCACTGGTGGGGCAGTAGACAAGGCGCATTCTCCCCTTGTCGATCGCGTCTTTTACGAAGAAGTAACGCAGCGAAATATGCTTCGTGCGATTAACGAAACCAGGCTTGTTGGCGATGGTAATTGCACTCTGGTTGTCGCACTGCAACGTGAACTGATTCGGCGTGACGAATTTTGCTTCGTCAAGCAATTCCTGCAAGTACAGACCTTCGCGAGTTGCAGCACAAGCGGCGATGAATTCTGCTTCAGCCGAAGAAAGTGACACCAGTTCCTGTTTCGAGGAATTCCAGGAAATCGGACCAATCGGCTCGAGACGAAAAATATAACCCGTGCGTGACCGTCGATCTGACGTGTCACCAGCGTGGTCCGCGTCAACGTACCCGCTGAGGTACATTTTGTCGGTCGGCTTCCCAGCATTGAAAATCAATCCAAGTGTTGGTGTAGAGACGAAGTAACGTAACGCACGCTGTAAGTCGAGAGAGTGTTCTTCTTTCGGGCAGCGTAAAAACTGCGCAAGGTGACTTGCGACGTAGGCAAGATCAGGGCGACAGGTGACTGCTGCGAAAAGAAGACATCCCATCTGCTGCTGATACAGTTGAAGACCAGCTGCTGACAGATTTTTCAGGTTGGGAACGTGCCCGGTGAGTGTAGACCGATAAGGTGTAGCAACGAAATCCGTGGGGATGTTAAAACGCTTAGCGAGTGACTCCGAATACTTCGAAGCCGTGAGATGAATAGCGGAAGAAGTTCGCGAAACGTTTAACCCCAGAAACTGAGTTACTTTGGTGGAAATGGTTAAGTCAAGTGACTTCTTCAGATCAGCTTCGATACGATCACCCAGCGAAGTAGACGAACTGACGTAGAGGATGTCGTCCACATAAGCCACTAACAACGCATAGCTCCCCTTGTCGTCTAGCCCCTGGAAAAGTGGCCTAGCGCCGAGGTTTGGGAATTGTCGAGGCGGAGGTCCGGAGCACGGGTTACCAACCGAACCGCTAGGTTGGGTCGCATCGCGAACAGTGGCGGGAGTCGTGGCCGAGGCGAGTGCTGCGAGCGGGTAACGTTTCACTGTGGGTGCCGATGGCGGGAGTGGTCATGTACGCGGTATGCAGGGGCGCGAAGTAAGGAAAAAGGAATTTTCCTTACAGAGGACACCAACCGAGTTGGACCATTGTTGTACCAACTCCTTTTCCGTGTGTGTTGGTTATAATTGGGTAGGGATGGTACTGTATGATTCTCATTATGTTTCCTTCCTTTCATCCTGCATTTGCCCATTCTAGAGTTTCATGAACAATGCTTTATTCTGAAGCTCAAATACACCCAAAGATACAGAGTCCAGGCCACTGCGTAGCATATCCTTTCAGCTGGGCATTGCCCATGCGCCTATAATGTCACTCATGCAAGCCTAGCAGTAATCGAAACACAAAAGAAGCAACACGGCGCTGCTCCAATAAACAGGCTCTTAGCGTCGCTTCTACCTACCGTATCCTAATCTGCCGATTGAATGGCAGTTCACCTGAGCAAGCAAAGCCATGGCTCCACCTAGCACGACACACCGCATTGCTGCAGGGTCTCACTAGAGCTGGGCGCCGTAGAAGAAAAGGGGTCGATCTTGACCCACAGCAGCGAGAAGATAGACGCGAGCAGCACAGACCACACAATAACAATCGTGGGGATGGCCTGGTTACGTCCACCGAGACCCTTCATGAAGGGATACAGATGCATGATGACCCAGAAGGAGAAGAAGAGCCTGCCAAACAGCGGCCCCCAGTTGCCATCGCCCGTGTTCATTGCCGTCGCCACGCCGCAGACAATCCCGAGGAAGTTGATGATGAGGAGGAAGAGCGGCGGGATTAGCAGAGACGTCCACTTGAAGAGGTACAGCTCTGCATACTCCCCGTCCTCCGCCTGCTTCGCAGTGACTGTGAAATTCGTGTCGATACCGGCAAGGACTTTCAGCAGGCCTTGGAACACGGCGAAGAGATGCGCCGACACGCCTCCAATCACCCAGAACTGCTCATTGCGCCACCAGTCCGTCATTCCCACTCCACTCCACCGCATCTCGAGCAGACCCGTGGCGAAAATGGTCATGAAGAGAGCGATGAAGTAGAGCGTGGAGGTGGTGTCCAGCGCGGGAACAATGAACTTGTTCGTGAACAGGCAGATGGCGGGAATGGTGCAGTAGACAAGCAGCGGGAAGGACGTAAACGGGTACACCACAGTGTTGGTATACGACAGCCGCTGCAGCACCTTGAGGTTGTTGCCCTTCCAGCCGTACCAGATGGGGCAATGGCGCGAGAGGAAGATTTCCACCGAGCCAAGGGCCCAACGAAGCACCTGCTGCAGACGGTCGGACAAGTTGATGGGCGCTCCTCCCTTGAAGGTGGGGCGCTTGGGCTTGCAGTAGATGGAGCGCCAGCCGCGGCAGTGCATCTTAAAGCCCGTGAGAATATCCTCCGTCACCGACCCGTAGATCCACCCCAACTGCAGCGAGAGAGGGAGGTGCCATGGGCGAGAGATGGATGGTGAGGGAAAGAGCGCACGGGTAGGAAAGCAAGCAAAAAGATGTGGAAATGGGAGGGCATGACGAGAGGGCGGGATATTAGGCAGCAGCAGCAGCAGCAGTAGCAGAGACAGAAGCACATACCTCCTTGCCCCACTCGGTCTTCTCCTCATAGCCGCACGAGATGACGTGAATGGCCTCCTTGAGCGTGGACCCCGGGCTGGCAGACGCCACTCCGCCCCCGTCCTCGTGGAACGTGGAGAGCACAAACACAGGCGACTGGCCGAACTTCTTCTCAAACTTCTTGAGCGCCACCAGGCTGTCGCCCTCGCCCACTGCGAGCCATGCAGAGGGATGGGGAGTAAGGGAAGGGGGTGAGGGTTCGGTGAGGGAAGAGGAGGGAGGTAAGGGGTGAGGCTATGGCGAGGAAAGAGGGCAAAGGAAACACTATTGAAGGCCGGAGACACTAAACGCCGTGTGTGGAGGAGTGGATGATACACGAGCACAGAACCGGCACAGCCGCATACGCCACGTCAGCATCCAGCTCAAAATCCCCGTCAGCGTACCTTCCTCGCCATCGTAGAGCGGAAGCGTCCCCTCGTCCTCGTCGCCCTTGCGCCCCTTGCGCCCGCCCTTGTCGCCGCGTCCGCCGCCGCCGCAGCACGAGAAGCAGGAGCAGAGCACGCCGCACTTGTTGCGCTTGTTCTTAGGCTTGGGCGGATCGTACCCGTACAGCGCGCGCCGGCGGAAGCAGCATCCCGTACCCACGTAGCACGGCCCTTGTATGCCGTCCAGCCCCGGCAGATTGATCTGCAGAGGGGAGGGAGGGAGGGGAGGGGTTAATGGGGGAGGGGGGGTTGGAGGGATAAGGTTGGGTAAGAGGCAGAGGAGGAGCGTGGGTAGTGGTTTCAAGTTGAGTGGCAAGTGACGGGGAGTCGGTAATGCATGCGAGGCGCGGAGAGTATCGTAACACCCGTATGATACCCTTCCAGCACCTCTCTCCGAGGCGGCCGCGCGACTCACATCGAAGAAGACGGTGTTGTTGTTGGCGCATCGATCGTTGGGGTCAATACCGTCGAACCGTTGGCACAGACGGCAACCAACAGGCGGGCATTAAGGGGAGAGGCTCACATTGCGCATTAAGGGGAGAGGCTCACATCGAAGAAGACGGTGTTGTTGTTGGCGTATCGATCGTTGGGGTCAATGCCGTCGAACCGCTGCGGGAACTGCACGTAGCAGCACTTCTTGCCCACGTTCGGGTCCATCATGAAACACATGGCCTCGCGCAGCGCCTTGCTGTCCGCGATGTAATGATCGCAATCCAGATTCAGCATGTACGGCGCGTTCGTCAGCACGGCTGACACGCGGATCTGCAGTGAGGCGTGTGTGCGGGGAGAGGGCGGAGAGAAAGGGCACGAGTGAGTGCTGGGGACGAGCTCGCGAGCAGGAGCAGAAGGGGAGGCAGAGCAGAGCAGGGGGGGCGAGCGAGAGCTCTAGCTTGGGAAAGGGTCTCACCAGGGAGTTCATGGCACCGGCCTTCTTGTGGTGGTTGTACCCGGGGCGCTTCTCTCGGCTGACGTACACGAGGCGCGGCAGCGGGTTGCCCTCGACGTCCGTGCCGCCGCTGGGGCCGAGGAACACCTGGATCATGCCCGGGTGGTCGCGCGACTTATTGCCCGGCCACGGCGTGCCGTCCTGCATCGTCCACCCCTCGTCGGGGACCTTCTGCGACTTGGCCACCAGCATGTTGATCCGGATCTTGAACTCCTCGTACTCGCGCTGCACGCACGAAACGTGGAATGAGACAGGCGTACGCGGGTAAGGAGAGAGGCGTGTGAGCGGACGCGGGGCGGCAGAAGGTCAACTGAAGAACGATGTTGACGGTGCTTTTCTTTCCCGTCCCGTCCCCAACCCCTTTCCTTTCTTGTTCCGTACCCCGCCCTTCCTATACCCCTTTACCCTCCTCGCTCCTCTCTCACTCCGTACCTTGATGGCGCGGCGGTCCTTGACGAATTGCGGGTCGACCTTGTCCTTCAGATAGTCCACCTTCTGCGTGAAGTACATCTCGGGGCACCGCGGCTCGATCTTGTAACGCTTCGCGAACGGCACCCAGCGCCTCGCGAATTCGCTGCACTCGCTCATCGAGTCGAACGTCAGCATCGCGCCACCATCGTCGTGCACGTAGCAGGATACCTTCTCCGTCGGGTAATCAACGGACAGGATCGAGAGCAGCGTGTTCGCCGTCGTGATCGGTGGCTCCTTGGCCGGATCCACCGTTGACACGAACAGATCGACGGCCGCGAGCTGCGACGGCTCGCCGCGTCGCTCGTAGCGAAGCGCGAGCCGGTCGAGATACGTCTCTCTCTTAATGGGCATCCACTTGGGGAACTGATCGAGAATCCAGGAGAAGGCGAACCAGACCTCGCAGATAACGGACATGAGCCACAGCCACCACGCGCCATCCACGGGGTTCAGGCACCGCCAGCGCAGGAAGAACGCGAGCACGAACAGCCGAATGATGATAATCAGCCGGTACGGGGAGATCAGCGACGACGGGTAGTGCACCTTCCGCGAAAGCGGCTGGCGCGACTCGTCCATGTTGGGCAGATCAGCGGTATCCATGGGGTCCGGGCCGGGGACGGGCGGCGCGGGGGGCGCGCCGTTCATGCCCATTCCGCCCATGGGTCCGCGGCCCTGCTGCTGCTTCCACGCCTCGAGGCGGTCCTTCCACACCACGCTGCCGTACCCGTAGTCGCCCAGATCCTTGCTCGGGTCCAGCGCGCGCACGTCCACTGCGGGGGGAAGTTGGAGGGAGGGCGAGGGGGAAGGGGGAAGGGGACGAGGACCAGGCGGTGGTGAGATTGCGGGAACGCGGGGAGGGGGAACGTGCGCACAGGGGGGGAAAGGGGGAGAAGACGACGATGATTATGAGAGTGGCTGAGCCAAGGGACTCGACGGATAGCCACTTGACGAACGAGCTACATGCGTGCGGAAGCAGCGTAGCGATTGCTCTGGAAAGGGAGGGAAGGGGTGGGGAGGAGTTGAGGCTTACTGGACATGTCGCCGGCGTTGCTCTGCGAGTAGTTGTACGCCTGGTTGGGGAGCGCGGAGGCGGGGACCATGGCGCCCGCGTTGTTGTAATCCGACGACATGCTCATGTCGGGATCCACCTGCCCTGACGTCAGCATGGGGTAGTGCGATCCGACGTGGTACGAGTCGTACGCGTTAGAACCATCCGGGTGCATCTGCTGCTGGCCCTGGTGCTGAGGATCCCCGTGCTGCTGCGACATCCCGCGACGGTTGCCGTCGTCCGGACCGCTGCTGTTCTCCGAGATGCCGAACTCCTGCTCCACGTCATCCGTTTCTTCCTCGTCGTCATCCGTGTCGATCCGAGGACTCCCTGGAAACACCAACGTAAACACTCAGGCTCCTTTTCTACTGACATATTGTCGACGAGAAGCGAAGCATGAATCGCGGAGTCACAATCGGACATGATTCAGGTGAATTTACCTTTGAGTCGCTTGTAGAAAGATTTGCACTGAGGACAAGCCCTGCTACCCTCTTTGCGCTCGTACTCGTAGCACGGGCGGCACACGGGATAAGCACACTCGTTACAGGCAATAAAGAGGTCTCCCTCCACCGTGCGGCCGACATCGTCGCCGCAAATCTGGCAGACGGACGGGTTGAAGCCGCTCTTGGCGCTCTGCAATGGCACAGGGACGCAGACGGCGAGTCGTAAGTAAATAAGCAAAGTACTATTCGCCAACTGCGCACGGACGATGGGGTGGACGAGTAGACTATGTCTAACAAAGCATGCAGGTTTCCGGGATTGTTACATTTTCATTCTCCTTGCGGATGACCACGAGCTGATTCCGGTTGTGGCTCCCCGCCACAAGGCCCGTGTTGTGTTCCATGCCTTCCCGCGGGAAGGCCGAAGAAGCGAAAGCCCGAGTCAGCCACTACCTACTTAGCTCTAACCTAAGAACACGTACGATAACTGAATTCTGGACCACTACCAACTCAGACAGAACAACATTAGGTCGAGCTGGGTGGCTGCGAGCAGGATAATCCCAATGGGAGAGTCTCGGAATGTCAAATGAAGAGGGAGTGGATATCGAGGGAGCTCAGGGATGCCTGTACGCTGCTTCTACTCTGGTTTGGGAGAGCCGCCTCGCCAACTCCAAGGCAGCTGGCGAGGAGAATCTCAAGGCGGGGGCCGAAGGTGACGGGCTTGGGGCGGTCTGTCTGTCCGTGGCTCGGACCAGGGGTGAACCACGCGACGACGAGGAGCGACGAGCCTTGACCGAGCGTAACGGAACGCCTCGCTGTCCAACGGAACAATTTCTGCGCAGTGTGGTTGGGAATTGGCGCAAGCAGCCTCCCCGCACGCACCCTTCAAAAAAATCATCCGCAGGGTTGACAGGAGGTTGGGCTGGTGGAGTGTGAAGGACGGAAGCTGTCGCGATGACGCCCTTTTCAGATTTCGCTTGACGCACGAACCAGCCGTCAGAGCACCGAGCCTCCATAAAGTAAGAGGTCTGGTTGGGGCGTGACCCGCACTTCAGAGGTGGATCCTGGTTCGGGACGGGTTACAGTGGTCGCGCGCCTCGAGATACGAGAGTCTCGGGAAGACACAGACACTCACCCTGACTACAGGTTTGGAATCCGAATCAGGGCTTCTCGTGGCGCCTGCAAAAAAGGGAAGAGCTTTCGTTGACACATTCATCCCGCCCGCGCCAAGCTAGCTACGACAGACTCGCAACACCTGACCTGACACCAACGAGACTCCTTATATCGGAGACACAAGCCATCTGATACTAACCAGCAATGATAACTAGGAATCGTTATGCTGATTGCTGAGTGTGTGATATAGCCTAACACTTTTCAAAGCAGTTTGATACATCTATGTATTGATATGCATGCGCTAAAATCACTTCCCACACCTTGAAAATATCATATCTATACAGCCCTAAACACAATACTAAGTGAGCAACATAACTCTTTCATACAATCTACGTAAACAAAATCCATGCTGGTCCTACTTCCCCAAAACCCATTTTTTCTTCCACTGGAGGCCAGCCTTGCTGTGAATCATGACCAGAACCTGCACAACCAAACCAGGTTCCAAAAACATAAGTTCACTGACGCCTCAAACAACATCACTTCTTCCAAAGCAACTCACCTTGCAGTTGCTAAGCTCCTTGACTGAAGGCAGCCTCTCCTCCTTCACTCCTAGCAGCCTGTCTATTCCCCGTAGATCCTGCACCAGAGCGTCCACTCCCAGGCGACCCACGCGCTTGAAGGCAGCATCCAGGAAATCAACAATGAGCAGCCGCCGCACATACATGTTGCCCATCTGCTCCATTATGGCCGGAAAACACTCAATCGGCGCCCATGCGTGCGTGACCACGGCAGAAAACAGGAATGCCACGAGTTCTACTGAGGGGCTGGTGAGGAACTTGGCTTCCGAGTCAGTGACCCGGATGTTGGAAGGCGTGGTAGAGGCGGAGGAGGTAGAGGTGAGGGAGATGGAGGAGGAGATGGAGGTGAGTTTGCGGGGAATCTTAACCTTCACGCCCAGAATGTTGAATCCTGAAGGAGGTTCCACCTGACCAGGGTACAAACCAAGACGAGAGAGAAAGAAAGGTCAGCATGCAGTCAGAATGGAACATTCCTGCTAGCCGGATGCAACACCAGGAAAACCTTTCAAAAGAATAAGCGATGCCTGGCTGGCTAGCGTTGAAACACCAGACGCAGTTCTCACCTGCGCCAGAATGGTGAGGCATCTGGATTGAATGGCAGCAAAGATATCCTCTGGGGTCACCCGCTTGGACCGGTTCAGCTTCTCCAGGTGCCGAATCTGAATCTCGCGCACCTCTGGGCGCGTCCCGCACCGGATCAGCGTCGCGATCGCCCCGCGCATTGCGCCGAGGCCGGACGTCGCTCCTTCTGCTGCCGTTTCAGGAACAGTCGACGGCACGAAGCTCTGCACGCGACTCGGCTTCGCGCTCAGCCCCGATACCTGCGGACGGTTCATCTCGTACGTGTTTGGCCGGTCAAACGGATTGGATCGAGCGCTGGGGGCCGTTGGAGGCATGTACGTTACAACTGCGCTTTCGGAGCCTTCCCCCTCACCTGCCACTAGACCAGCATCCGGCGGCTGGTACGGAACAATAGCCCCTGCAATCGGCAACGTTTCATTTGCGAGGCTTTCCGCGGCAGTAGCAGGGTCGTACGGTACGATTGACATGGGGAGCGCCGAGCGGCGTGACTGGGACGACGGTCCCGACGCGGCGAGGACGGGCATGGTGTAGGATCGCGGGATGAGCCGCTGCGATCGCGACGAGAGAGACGTGCCCGGCCGCGACGGCGTCATCGACGGCGCCATTGACGGCGCCGAGGAGAGCGCCTCCGTGCCGTGATCCTCTTCCGCAGCAGACGCGGGTGTCAGCGCCTCTGGCGGCGGAGGGCGGTAGCTCGACACCCGCACAGCATCCGCTACTGCCGGCTCATCCAGCTTGTCCTCGATATCTGCAGGGCTTCCTTCCTCGACACCTGCAAATTCCCCGTCGGGTTGTTTGTCGGGGGCCTTTTCGGAAGCGACGGACTTTTTAGACCCGCCACCCAGGCCGTAGTTAAATGCCACGCCGCCAGGAGCGCTGAGCAGCGCCGCGCGTTCGTCGGAGAGTTCTTTCACCTGATTGGCCAGACTGAGCACCTGGTTGATCAGCTCGGCGCGCGACAGCGTGTCGGCGTGGCTGCCCTCCTCCAGCGCGCGAGTGATCGCCAGCAGCTGGCGACGCAGCTCGTGCGACTCCTGCTCCTTTTCGCGAAGCATCGCCTCCAGTCCGGAAACTCGCCCGGTCATCTCGCAGTTCTCCACCTCCAACACTGCGACCCTTCGCGTGAGCGGGTCCGCGGTAACACCACCATCGGCGACACCATCTGCGACGTCGCCGAAGTCCCCGTCGCCTTTATCGATGTGATCGGGCTCGGCTGGGGGAGGTGGCACCAAAAGGTGGTCGTCGACCCACGAGTCGACCCTCGAGATTGCCGACTTGGAGTCGGCCACGGACTTGGTTTCTGTGGCCACCGGCACTACTGACTCACGAAGGGACTGCCATGTTTGATTCGCTGCGCCTCGCTCTGCCGCGACCGGCGAGACCATGAGTGTGTTCTGGCTAGGTAGTGAAGATGAGATTCTAGCCTGGTGGCCGCCGGATGTCCGGATTAATTGGCTTCGATGGTCGAGGATAACTACTTGAGACAAGCTTGGTGGGTGGATTAACGAGAACGTTGCGCTACGACGAATAGATTTTCAGACTGAACTTCGCGAAGAAATCTTCTGATGGAATGAATTGGATGGATGCGAGAAATGCTCTTGCATGTAGGTGGTAGGTGCCGCGTGCTGCTAGGTCGAAGCGGAAGGAAACCCAGGGTGGTACTGTTGCTCATCCCAGGGTGAACTGAACAAGGATAGAGGTGGTGGCAGTGAGCCAGATTTGTGTGCACTTGCCGGGTGGAGTGGAGTGGGTAGGAGGGAGATGGAATGCAAGGCGAGGCGAGAGGCAGTCAAGGAATGTTGGGGGCAAATTGGCTTGATCCATTGAAATGTGCGCCTGCTTTTTGGAGTCGCGGCAACCATCCTCAGTGTTGACATGCGACATGGACTGATGTGACGTTATGCGAATTCCCTCGATACAGAGTCGACACTGCGAACCGCGCTGTTGACTTGCAGTTATGAAATGTCGGTCTTTGGCGCTGATTGGCTTGCGGCTTCTGATGTGTTCGTGCCGACTGGAGAAAGCTGAAACTGTAATTCGACAGCGTTGGTTGGCACACGCTCTGTGAATTCACCTTATAGCGGAACAACAAACATACTATATAGAAAACACGCTACATATATCCAACCGATGTAAAGTGCTTTGCATTGTCCAACCTTCGCAATCAGAATCTGGATACTGAATCATCCCAATAGAGTTCAACAACACTCTGCATCAGTCGAAACTTAGGGAACCTAGGGATCTGTGCGACTCCGCCTTTCCAGCAGCCGTTGTGGAATCTAGCTATGGCGGTGCGGTAGGCACCTGTTGGAAACTGCCAGTCGTACTGTCTAAATAATCGGAAATAGGAACCAAGGTTGTTGAATCAAACGGAGCTGAGGGCAAAGGCACTCGAGCAGGCGAACATATCACAAAGGAGTTACTATTTACTAAGGGATTCGCGATGGCGTGGAACGCGTTTAAGTTCTGCACAGGCCTGAAGATTCTCGGATCCATTATGATCCTCGTCGTCCTCGCTATAGTCGCGGTTACCTACTACGCTGTAGTCATCGCGAGTTACGGCCCTGAGTTATCGAAGGGAGGTTCCACGTCGTTCCTCGCGTTCCTCGTGCTCGCCGTCTTCCACGGCCTCGTACGCCTCCTCGTCCGCCTTCTCACACCCTGTCGATCCCCGCTTGTGATTCGTCTGTATCAGCTTGTTTATTCAGCTGTCGAATTCCGCAATACCCACCTCTCGCTAGACTCGTTTGACCCACAGCATAAGATCGTGATTTTTTTCCTCTTTGACCCTTGTCTCCTCCGCTCTCTCCCTCTCTCTCTCTCTCCCTCTCTCTCTCTCTCGTCTCCTCCGCGCCATCTCGTCTCTCCCCCCACTCAGCTCGGCATGCTGCTCTGGAGCTACTTCTCCGTTGTGCTCACGGACCCTGGTGGTGTACCACCGGACTGGCATCCCTTCTTTCGCGGCGACGACGATCTCGAGGAGCAGTCGTTGCAAACCCTAGACACCCACAGGCAAGCCGCCCTTGGGAATTACCCGCCGTCTGTTGCCGCCGCCGCTGCTTCTGCTGACTCTGGTCGGTCAGGCTCTGCTGCCAGCGTGGCAAGCGCGGGCGTCCTGTCCGAGTCAGCATCCGACGATCGCGATAATGAAGATGACAGCTCATCAATGGATGACCCTCGTGCTGCTCTTGTGGGGCCCGCGGGCGGCAGGGCGGGCATGGAGAACGGCGGGAAGCAGCAGGACCAGCAGCAGCAGCAGCAGCAGCAGCAGTCGCAGGCAGTGTCGCGCGGAGGGGGTGCGGGGATGATTGGGGGGAGAGACGGAATGGGGGACGCGGGGATGGGGAGCGGCGCAGTGGAGATTCGACGATGCAAGCGGTGCTTGCAGTTCAAACCGCCTCGAGCGCACCACTGCTCTGTCTGTGTGTCTCGCTGCCTCTGAGACTCAGTCTCTGCATTGAATGGCTATGTTCCTGTGTGTGCGTGCATCTCACTCGTGTGGTTCCGTCGCGTTACTGCTGCACTCGCTGCACTCGCTCTCTTGTGCACGTTGCCACACCCGAGCGCCCTCTCGCCCCACACCATCATGTCTCTTCCTGTACGGCCGCTCCGTCCCCTACCCCTCTCCACTCCTCCCCACCCCACCGCACCATCACGTCTCTATCAGGCGGGCGGTGCATATTGAAGATGGACCATCACTGCGTGTGGGTGATCAACTGCGTGGGTGCCAAGAACTACAAACAATTCCTGCTCTTCCTCGTCAGTCCCACTGCTGCCTCTCGCCCCCTTGCACTGCCTGCCTTCCCCCTCCCTCTTTCACCCTCTCACTCTCGCTCTCACTATCCCACTCTTGAATTCTCTCCCTCTCTCACTCCCTTCCCCTCTTCTGGCCCCTTCTCATCTTCCCAACCCTCGCCCGTTTGCACCTCGCCCCCCATTCTTGGCTGTCCTCAGTTTTTTCTTCAACTCTTTGCTTTTCCATTCGATTCATGTCTTGTCGCATGCAGTTCATCTAACTTGTTCTTTTCATTCATAATCCCTCTCCTGTTCCTCATTCCCTGTCCTGATCCTTATTCCCCCTCCCAACGTCCCGTTCACCCAACCCACCTCAATTACACCCCCGTGTGTCACCCTCCCTGACCCCTCTCCCTCGAATGACACACAACAACTCCCACCCCATGTGTGTGTCACCCTCCCTGCCCGCCTTCCTGTCGTCATCCCTGTCCCCCTGCTGATCGCCATCCCTGCGCTGCAGTTCTACACGTTCGTGGAAACAGCCATGGTGGCGGTGGCACTGCTGCCGCACTTCATAGACTTCTTCACCACACCGCCCTCCGCCAGCGACGACGCCACCAAGCTCGCCACTGTCTTCCTCTCCTTTGGTACGTCCCGCCTCCCCCTCCCTGCTACTTCCCCCTCCCTTCTTCCCTTCCCTCCCTCCCCCTCGTTCCCTCCCTATGCCTTCCACGTCCATCTTACAACACACAGTTTCACATGTCCACCCACTATGCACATCCCCTGCTTCTTCCTCCCATCCATCACTTAGTCCTCTCCCAGTTGCTTAATCCTCCCCTCTCGCCTTTTCCGCTCCCCCCTCTCACCAGTGCTGAACATAGCATTCGCCGTGAGTCTGCTGGGATTCCTCATCATGCACGTCTCTCTCGTGCTTGGCAACACCACCACAATCGAGGTACGTGCTACCACGTGCCGCCTCCTCCCCGCCTCTGTTACGAGCCCTCCCTCCCTCCCTTCCTCCCCTCCGCTGCTGGGCTTCCTCATCATGCACGTGTCTCTCGTGCTCGGCAACACCACCACCATCGAGGTATGACCTTCCATCACAGCTGCCATTCTACCCCACAGGTACCGTTTTTCCCTCATTTGCTCATGCTCGGACGTGCAAGCTGCTCATGCTCGGACGTGCAAGCTGCTCATGCTCGGACGTGCAAGCTGCTCATGCACCCCTCTTTTCCCTCCCCCCTACCGTTCCCGCCGCTCATGCTCTTCCTGCTGTTGCCATGCCACGCAGGCGTTTGAGAAAAGGGGGTCGCACAGATGGCGGTACGACCTGGGAAGGCGAAGGAACTTTGAGCAGGTATGGGGCGATCGCTGTCTGTGTGTTCCTGTGAGTGCATGCGGGCACACTCACTTCGCTCCCTTATCACCTCAGTGCTCAGGCCATGATTCATGGGCTTGTCAGGGGCACAGGGGTTTGTCGTCAGTTTCTGTTCACCTGTTTGTTTCTTCTGCTGGTGCATGAGCTTGTCTCTGTGTGTGCATGTGTCCATGTGTCCCTCTGTCTGCCACATCTACTCATATCCCACACCAGGTGTTTGGCATGGATAGAAGGTACTGGTTTCTCCCCATGTATTCACCAGAGGACCTGCGCAGAATGCCAGTGCTGCACGGCCTAGACTACCCCCACAACCCTGAGTACCTCCAAGAGTTTGAGGTTTCCAGAAGATGAGACCTCTTGGTACACTTCAGCGCTGTATGTTTGAATGTGATGCTGCCTTATATTTTTCAGAGAGTTACTGGTATCATTTATTGAGATTTAACAAAGGCGAAGCATTGCCAATCCAGCAATGCGCTAAGACATACCAGTGCTTATTCCAAAGTATGTACTCTGACCACATACCACAATGATGGCTAAGGTGGCGCCCACCCATCCTCTACTGCTTTGCTCTTAGACGCAGATGGATGAAATCGTAATGGCTACATGTATAGGTGCTGTGATGGTGTATGGTAGTCCCAGGCATGGCATGTGCTTGAATCACCAAGACGGGCTGTGTGGCAGCATAGCAAGGGATGAGGGACAGGGAGAGGCAGGATAGACAAGTCTAAAATACCAAAGATGCAACTTGCGCATGCCATATGAGATTGTGGGAGAGAGGTGGCAGGAGGAGCTCAGGCAGGGGCAGGAGGAAAGGCGGATGCAAAGCGCAGGAGGAAAGGCAGAGGCAGGAGGAAAGGCAGAGGCACGAGGAAAGGCAGAGGCAGGAGGAAAGCCAGAGGCACGAGGAAAGGCAGAGGCAGGAGGAGAGGCAGAGGCACGAGGAAGGGCAGGGCAAGGAGAGCACTGGCCCCTCCCCGTCAAGGTTGTCCTCATGAAAGTCCCCCGCCTCATCCACTACCTCTAACTCCTTCTGAGTCATCTCAAGACTAAGATGCAGGAGAGTAGAGAAGCAGGGTGCAACGCAATGGGGCAGGAGGCAAGGCAGCGCAAGGAGAGCACTGACCCTTCCCCATCGATGTTGTCCTCATCAAAGTCCCCCGCCTCATCCACTACCTCTAACTCCTTCTGAGTCATCTCAAGACTAAGATGCAGGAGAGTAGAGAAGCAGGGTGCAACGCAATGGGGCAGGAGGCAAGGCAGCGCAAGGAGAGCACTGACCCTTCCCCATCGATGTTGTCCTCATCAAAGTCCCCCACCTCCACCGCTACCTCTAACTCCTCCTCCCCTCCCATCGCCCCTTGCCCCTCCTCATCCTCCCCTTCTCCCTCCGCCACCGTATCCCCTTCCCCACCCACCCCCCCATCCCCCTTATCCAGCTTCCCCCCGTAATCCTCCAGCGTGGGCGCTTTCTTAAAAGCAGGCCCTGCTGATGCTGGTGGTGCTCCTGCTGCTGCGCCGCCGGCTGCCACTCCTGACGCGCCCTCCTCCCCCTCGCCCTCGGCATGAGCCAGCGCTCTCATCTTCTCCAGGTGGTCGCTGGCAAAGATGCGGTGGAAGGGGTGGGACACCTGCAGGGGGGGGGATGAGGGAGTTATCATGTGGTAGCTGAGTATGGGACAGCGTGTGGGCTGAGACAAGGCAGACAGATGGCATGCCTCGGCATGGGCCAGCACTCTCATCTTCTCCAGGTGGTCGCTGGCAAAGATGCGGTGGAAGGGGCGGGACACGTGCAGGGTGGGAGGATGAGGGAGGTGACTTTTGAGGTGCCTCTAAGGTCATGTGATGGGGTGGAAGGGGCATGACACCTGCAGGAGTGGGGATGAGGGATATGTGCTCTTGGCAGCGCGTGGCAGCAGGGAAGCACGTGGCAGCAGGGAAGCACGTGGCAGCAGGGAAGCACGTGGCAGCAGGGAAGCACGTGGCAGCCCATGAGATCACAGTACAGAACAGCAGGAGGGCAGACCTTGAGGTATCGGTTGGTGGAGCGGGCATGCTTGACCAGGTTGCCCCAATGCTCGTCCACCATTAACGCTGCTGCATTCGCCACCACCTGCTCCCATGCTCCCATGCACCCATACACCCATACACCCATGCACCCATACACCCATACACCCATACACCCATACACCCATGCACCCATGCACCCATACACCCATACACCCATACACCCATACACCCATGCACCCATGCACCCATACACCCATACACCCATACACCCATACACCCATGCACCCATGCACCCATACACCCATGCACCCATGCACCCATACACCCATACACCCATACACCCATGCACCCATACACCCATACACCCATACACCCATACACCCATGCACCCATGCACCCATGCACCCATACACCCATACACCCATACGCCCATGCACCCATGCACCCATACACCCATACACCCATGCACCCATGCACCCATACACCCATACACCCATGCACCCATGCACCCATACACCCATGCACCCATGCACCCATGCACCCATGCACCCATGCACCCATGCACCCATACACCCATACACCCATACACCCATGCACCCATGCACCCATACACCCATGCACCCATACACCCATGCACCCATGCACCCATACACCCATGCACCCATACACCCATGCACCCATGCACCCATACACCCATGCACCCATGCACCCATACACCCATGCACCCATGCACCCATACACCCATACACCCATGCACCCATGCACCCATGCACCCATACACCCATGCACCCATGCACCCATACACCCATGCACCCATGCACCCATGCACCCATGCACCCATACACCCATGCACCCATACACCCATACACCCATGCACCCATGCACCCATACACCCATGCACCCATACACCCATGCACCCATGCACCCATACACCCATGCACCCATGCACCCATGCACCCATACACCCATGCACCCATGCACCCATACACCCATGCACCCATACACCCATGCACCCATGCACCCATACACCCATGCACCCATGCACCCATACACCCATGCACCCATACACCCATGCACCCATACACCCATGCACCCATGCACCCATACACCCATGCACCCATGCACCCATGCACCCATACACCCATGCACCCATACACCCATGCACCCATACACCCATGCACCCATGCACCCATGCAGAAGAGAGCAGAGGAGATGCCCTTGAACGCGATGTGCAAATGATGCAGCAGGGATGCTGAAAGGAGCATGAGAGCAGGGATACACATGGAAGCGTAGCAGATGGGAGCAGCATGAGAACATGCACGAGCATGGCGGACTAACGAGCAGGAGAAGGCTCACGAGCATGGAGGAGCGGGCGCGTTTTGAGACGTCTCAAAACTAGAAGGCTCACGAGCATGGAGGAGCGGGCGCGTTTTGAGACGTCTCAAAACTAGAAGGCTCACGAGCATGGAGGAGCGGGCGCGTTTTGAGACGTCTCAAAACTAGAAGGCTCACGAGCATGGAGGAGCGGGCGCGTTTTGAGACGTCTCAAAACTAGAAGGCTCACGAGCATGGAGGAGCGGGCGCGTTTTGAGACGTCTCAAAACTAGAAGGCTCACGAGCATGGAGGAGCGGGCGCGTTTTGAGACGTCTCAAAACTAGAAGGCTCACGAGCATGGAGGAGCGGGCGCGTTTTGAGACGTCTCAAAACTAGAAGGCTCACGAGCATGGAGGAGCGGGCGCGTTTTGAGACGTCTCAAAACTAGAAGGCTCACGAGCATGGAGGAGCGGGCGCGTTTTGAGACGTCTCAAAACTAGAAGGCTCACGAGCATGGAGGAGCGGGCGCGTTTTGAGACGTCTCAAAACTAGAAGGCTCACGAGCATGGAGGAGCGGGCGCGTTTTGAGACGTCTCAAAACTAGAAGGCTCACGAGCATGGAGGAGCGGGCGCGTTTTGAGACGTCTCAAAACTAGAAGGCTCACGAGCATGGAGGAGCGGGCGCGTTTTGAGACGTCTCAAAACTAGAAGGCTCACGAGCGTGGAGGAGCGGGCGCGTTTTGAGACGTCTCAAAACTAGAAGGCTCACGAGCATGGAGGAGCGGGCGCGTTTTGAGACGTCTCAAAACTAGAAGGCTCACGAGCATGGAGGAGCGGGCGCGTTTTGAGACGTCTCAAAACTAGAAGGCTCACGAGCATGGAGGAGCGGGCGCGTTTTGAGACGTCTCAAAACTAGAAGGCTCACGAGCATGGAGGAGCGGGCGCGTTTTGAGACGTCTCAAAACTAGAAGGCTCACGAGCATGGAGGAGCGGGCGCGTTTTGAGACGTCTCAAAACTAGAAGGCTCACGAGCATGGAGGAGCGGGCGCGTTTTGAGACGTCTCAAAACTAGAAGGCTCACGAGCATGGAGGAGCGGGCGCGTTTTGAGACGTCTCAAAACTAGAAGGCTCACGAGCATGGAGGAGCGGGCGCGTTTTGAGACGTCTCAAAACTAGAAGGCTCACGAGCATGGAGGAGCGGGCGCGTTTTGAGACGTCTCAAAACTAGAAGGCTCACGAGCATGGAGGAGCGGGCGCGTTTTGAGACGTCTCAAAACTAGAAGGCTCACGAGCATGGAGGAGCGGGTGCGTTTTGAGACGTCTCAAAACTAGAAGGCTCACGAGCATGGAGGAGCGGGCGCGGGTGATGCCGACATTCATGCGCCGAAAGTCCGACAGAAACCCAATGCTCTTCCCCTTGCCCCTCCCCGCCCGCACACACGAGAATATGATCACGTCCTTTTCTCGGCCCTGCATGCATCACATGAAAAACACATGACCACATGGTGTCATTGGCATGAAAACACATGGTGTCATTGGCATGAAAACACATGGTGTCATTGGCATGAAAACACATGGTGTCATTGGCATGAAAACACATGACCACATGGTGTCATTGGCATGAAAACACATGGATTGCATGCACAAAGAAGATACCAACATCCTTCTCTCTAAGCCCTGCGCTAATTTCCTCCCCCCCCCCACATTCATTCGGGCAGGTCACGTTCAGAACTGAGCTCATGCATGTATGCACACATGGCTTTCTCATGCGTTGATGGCTTCCAGGTGCGTTGATGGCTTCCAGGTGTATGCTGTCATGGGTGCACACACACTCAACATGTGACTGTGGTGATCAACATGGAAACGCACATACCAGACATGCTGACCCTTTTGAGGCGCCTCCAAAGCCGCACAGCCGAGGTATGCAGACACAATTCAAGCACTACATGTTTTTTCCCTGACCTACACATACAGCGCACATCAGCATATACCTGAAAGCTCATTCAGCACCTGTTGAGTCGCACATCAACGCACCTGGAAGCCATCAACGCACCTGGAAGCCATCAACGCACCTGGAAGCCATCAACGCACCTGGAAGCCATCAACGCACCTGGAAGCCATCAACGCACCTGGAAGCCATCAACGCACCTGGAAGCCATCAACGCACCTGGAAGCCATCAACGCACCTGGAAGCCATCAACGCACCTGGAAGCCATCAACGCACTTGGAAGCCATCAACGCACCTGGAAGCCATCAACGGACCTGGAAGCCATCAACGGACCTGGAAGCCATCAACGCACCTGGAAGCCATCAACGCACCTGGAAGCCATCAACGCACCTGGAAGCCATCAACGCACCTGGAAGCCATCAACGCACCTGGAAGCCATCAACGCACCTGGAAGCCATCAACGCACCTGGAAGCCATCAACGCACCTGGAAGCCATCAACGCACCTGGAAGCCATCAACACACCTGGAAGCCATCAACGCACCTGGAAGCCATCAACACACCTGGAAGCCATCAACGCACCTGGAAGCCATCAACGCACCTGGAAGCCATCAACGCACCTGGAAGCCATCAACGCACCTGGAAGCCATCAACGCACCTGGAAGCCATCAACGCACCTGGAAGCCATCAACGCACCTGGAAGCCATCAACGCACCTGGAAGCCATCAACGCACCTGGAAGCCATCAACGCACCTGGAAGCCATCAACGCACCTGGAAGCCATCAACGCACCTGGAAGCCATCAACACACCTGGAAGCCATCAACGCACCTGGAAGCCATCAACGCACCTGGAAGCCATCAACGCACCTGGAAGCCATCAACGCACCTGGAAGCCATCAACGCACCTGGAAGCCATCAACACACCTGGAAGCCATCAACGCACCTGGAAGCCATCAACGCACCTGGAAGCCATCAACGCACCTGGAAGCCATCGACCGTATTGACATCCACTCTGTGAGCCCCCTCGCCCAGCAGCTCTCGAAACTTGTCTCGCAGTAGCTTCACCTGGGAGGAGGAAGCCGAACGCAATGAGGATTTAGGAAAGCAATGAGGAAGCCGAATGGGGGGATTTAGGAAAGCAATGAGGAGGCCGAATGGGGGGATTTAGGATAGCAATGAGGAAGCCGAATGGGGGGATGTAGGAAAGCAATGAGGAAGCCGAATGGGGGGATTTAGGAAAGCAATGAGGAAATGTCCAGAAGAAGAAGTTGCTCAGATGCATCATTTGCAATGCACCTCGCAGTAACTGTGCGGGAGATGACACGCGGGTTACATCACACCTGGTGCTTGTACGGGGAGATGACACCGACGTCAGAGGACTCCTTGAGTTGCGGGTATAATGCTACCAGGTGGCGGTACAGCACCATCACAAACTCCGCCTCGTCCGTGTTCATCCATGAGCCTCCAGCTGGTATGGCAGCAGAGAAGGAGTTGGTTCGGTGAGAGGTGTGACAAGGGCCGAGGAGAGGGAGGATAAATGAAGGAGCATCAGAGACCAGGTGCTAGATACAGCACCATCACCAGTTTTGAGACGTCTGAAAACGAGACCAGGTGCTAGATACAGCACCATCACCAACTCCGCCTCCTCCGCGTTCATCCGCGAGCCGCCCGCTGTGATGCAAGCAGAGGGGAGAGGGATGAGTGAGATGGAGACAAGACATGGTGCCGGTGACGGTCAAAGGGGGTCTGCACCAAGTGGTGACCACCAGGTGGCCGTTCAGCACCATCACCAACTCTGCTTCGTCCGCGCCTTTTTCACGCGCACACAGCACACAACACCACTTCTCGACTCACAGAACCTCACGGTCCCCCATGGCAACTCATGGCCCCCCATGCCACCTCAGACTTGCCCCCACGCACGAGGCTGCTCGTCCTTGGACTGGTGCAGGTCGAAGAAGAACAACGGCCCAAACACGCGCTCCGCGTGCCACGGCCGCGCCGTGTTCTGTGCCATCTGTGGCGCATCCCTCAACGCGCCCCCGTAGAATTCGTGCGAGGGGAAGTGCCGGATCTGGTGGGGCGTGCGGGGGAGGGGGAGACAGCACGGTGGGGAGGGGTTATGAGGGGTGTGAGCGGCACAAGGGAGACGGCCACGGCCGCGCCGTGTTCTGCGCCATCTGCGGCGCGTCCCTCAATGCGCTGCCGTAGAACTCGTGCGAAGGGAAGTGACGAATCTGGTGGGTGGGGCGTGACGACGAGAAGCAAGGGGACGAAGCTTGGTGAATCACGATGGAGAGGGGTTGTTGTGAGTGGCAACAGCATCACACTGTTCTGTACCAACTGCTGCGCGTCCCTCAATGCGAGATGCAAATGAGAGGGATTGGGGGTGTGGGGCGGGAGCAGGAGCAGGGCATCTGAGGTGCGTCCTTCAGCGCCCTACTGAGTGGGGAATGAGAATGACAAGGAAAGAAACATGCAGCATACCATGGGGTGCACGCGGTGCTGTGTGTTGAGCATACCATGGGGTGCATGCGGTGCTGTGTGTTGAGCATACCATGGGGTGCATGCGGTGCTGTGTGTTGAGCATACCATGGGGTGCATGCGGTGCTGTGTGTTGAGCATACCATGGGGTGCATGCGGTGCTGTGTGTTGAGCATACCATGGGGTGCATGCGGTGCTGTGTGTTGAGCATACCATGGGGTGCATGCGGTGCTGTGTGTTGAGCATACCATGGGGTGCATGCGGTGCTGTGTGTTGAGCATACCATGGGGTGCATGCGGTGCTGTGTGTTGAGCATACCATGGGGTGCATGCGGTGCTGTGTGTTGAGCATACCATGGGGTGCATGCGGTGCTGTGTGTTGAGCATACCATGGGGTGCATGCGGTGCTGTGTGTTGAGCATACCATGGGGTGCATGCGGTGCTGTGTGTTGAGCATACCATGGGGTGCATGCGGTGCTGTGTGTTGAGCATACCATGGGGTGCATGCGGTGCTGTGTGTTGAGCATACCATGGGGTGCATGCGGTGCTGTGTGTTGAGCATACCATGGGGTGCATGCGGTGCTGTGTGTTGAGCATACCATGGGGTGCATGCGGTGCTGTGTGTTGAGCATACCATGGGGTGCATGCGGTGCTGTGTGTTGAGCATACCATGGGGTGCATGCGGTGCTGTGTGTTGAGCATACCATGGGGTGCATGCGGTACTGTGTGTTGAGCATGACCACTGGATATCCTGCTTGCTGCAGACGAGAGAACATGCTGCCATGGTACCTGGTGGGGTGGATGTGAGGCATGAGTGGAATGGGCCGGATGAGACGCGGGGAACGAGGAAAGGTCAAGAAAATTCGGGGAATGAGAGAGGTAGTAGAAAGAGGCTATAATCTACCTCGAACCTCTGGAAAGTGCAAAATATGGTAGCATGCCTCGCATCTCAGCTACCCACCCGTAGTGCACACCGCGGGTGGAGAGCACAGTGGCTGGCCGCTGCAATGGGTTGTCCACCACCATGAACACCTGCGAGCAGCAACCTGTGCATACCGGCTAGCACGCCTCTCATCTCACCCAACCTCCCATAGTGCATTTGCTGAACGTGACACGTTATCCCACCCACCCGTAGTGCACGGCACGTGTGGAGAGCACAGTAGCAGGCAGCTGCAGAGGGTCGCCCACCATGAACACCTGTGAACACCCGTGTGTCATTGGGATGAGCGTTGACGGCTCCACCTGGTGAGAGGGAGACAGGATAGGCATGCATGCACACAAGCACACGGGGGAGCATGTAGCCATCAGGGTCCCCCACCATGAACACCTGCGAGCACCCGTGCGTCATTGGGATGAGCGTTGATGGCTCCACCTGGTGACATGGGTGGGGGCAGGCACACACGGGGGCATGCAGGCATGAGCAATGCAGAGGCAGAGGCAGAGGCAGCTGGAGCGGTAGAGACAGAGGCAGAGGCAAAGTGAGGGGCAGAGCGCAGAGTCAGAGACAGAGACACAGCAAAGAGGCAGATACAGGTGCTGCACTGACCGCTTGGGCCGCCTCGTCAATGACCACCACGTCAAATGGCCGTGACATGCGCGAGAACACCCCCGACCCTGCAAAGGCGAGTGTTGAACACACCTTGGGACCAGTGCGAGGGGGGCGGGGGGAGGAGAGGCATAGGACATGGGTGTGGGAAAGGGGGATACGAGGCATGTATGGATTGGGGTGGGTGGATAGAGGTGGTGGTGTTTGGTGACAACAGATGAAGGGGAGGCTTGCAGTCAACCAACCAGCTCTCCTCACACAAAGGCATGCTCTCACATCATGCTCTACAAGCGTGGCAACTCACGATGGCGGCCTCATCGAGAATGGCGACTCGTATTCTGTCTCGCTCCACCCCGCCTGCCCCTGCTGTCTTGGCCCCCACCCCCGCTGCTGACCTCGCCATGCTGCTGGCACGCTGGGATACCTGTGGGGCGGGGAGGAGAGAGAAGAGAGGGGAAAAGGGAGAAGGGGGAAAGAGGAGAGAGTGGAAGAGAAATTGTGATGTGAGGGAGAGAAAATGTTATGTGCTCCTGTTGTCGTGGCTCCCATCCCCGTTGCTGACCTTGCCATGCTGCTGGCCCACTGAGAAATTCGTTGGTCTTGGATGAGAGGAGAGAAGTGGAGAGAGGAGGAGAGGAGGGATGGGGAGAGAGGGGATGTGATAGCATAGCACACATACCGCCATGCATCCATAGCATAGCACACATACCGCCATGCATCCATAGCATAGCACACATACCGCCATGCATCCATAGCATAGCACACATACCGCCATGCATCCATAGCATAGCACACATACCGCCATGCATCCATAGCATAGCACACATACCGCCATGCATCCATAGCATAGCACACCCGCCGTCTCACCCCACCCCTCCCATCCCACCCTCCCCATGCACCCACCAGGTTATCCATGGCGACAGAGGCCACTGAGTGGTGGGCGTTGAGTCCCACTCGCACCACCGACGGCGAATAAATGCCTCCAATGTCGTCCCTCAGGCCTGCACACATGGGGTGGGATGTGATGTGATGTGATGGGATGGGATGGGATGGGATGGGATGGGATGGGATGGGATGGGATGGGATGGGATGGGATGGGATGGGATGGGATGGGATGGGATGGGATGGGGTGAATGGGGCACTAGAATGCACGATATGGCATGTTGTGCCTTCAAGAGCAGGGGAGTGATACATGAGTACGACAGGTCACAGGTGCAGCTGCAACGAGTGCATTGTGAGTTGATGTAACATATGAGTGTGTGCAGCAGTGGCAGAGGCAGAGGCAGGAGAGGTTTATCCCCACCTGTGTGCAGCAGTCGCAAAACAATCTCATCAAGAGCAGCGTTGGAGGGAGCACACACAAGCACGTGCGCTCGCTGCTTGCGATGACCCCCCAACACCTCCACCTGGTTGGGAGCGAGAGGGAGACGAGAGTTCGTTGGTTTGGACAAGAGTGGACGGGGGAGGAAAGAGTAAGGGAGAGGGGGAGGAAGGAGAAGGGGAGGCGAGGAGGAAAGGGAGGAGGGCAGGGAGCACATGGATGCAGCGCGCAACCGACGAAGGGAGAGGCAATCTGAGGCGAGGAGAGTGAGTCATGCAGAGTGGAATCACCACTCGACGACTACCAACCCCATTCCACACCCTGCCACCAACCCCATTCCACACCCTGCCACCAACCCCACCTGCTCTGTGCTGCCGAAGACGTTCCCACTCGAGCCCCCTGCACCACTCTCCTCATCGTCTGGCTGTACAGCGTCTCGCGGGTTCACCCCGTGCAGCCAGGGAGACGTATTTCTGAAACTTATAAAAAGTACATCCCCACCTGCTGTGTGCTGCCAAAGACGTTGGCACCTGAGCTCTCTGGATCGCCCCCCTCCTCATCATCTGGCTGCATGGCGTCTCGGGGGTTCACACCATGCAGCCAGGGGGACGTTGGTGACACTTCTGAGACTTCTAAGAAGTTCATCCCCACCTGCTGTGTGCTACCAAAGACGTTGCCTCCCGAGCTCCCTGCACCGCCCTCCTCCTCATCATCTGGTTGTACAGCTTCTCGCGGGTTCACCCCGTGCAGCCAGGGGGACGCCTGCACCCACTGCTGCTGCCGCTGCTGCCATGTCAGCTGTGTCATGTGGGTGATGTGCTGGGCGCCGTTGCTGGAGTGGAGTGAAGGAAGGGGCAGGGAGGGGAAATGGATGGGGCCCTTAGATTCTCTGAGGCCGGCCATGCAGCACCACACTGAGCAACCCCAGGATGGGCTGTGTCTTGCCCGTGCCAGGAGGCCCCTGGATGAGCACCAGGGGGCTGCTGCTGCCATGTGAGCAGCACTGCCATACTCTCGCACACACTCTCCCTCTCACTCTCCCCCATCCACCCACACACCACGCATCCACTCACCACCACCCATCCACCCACCCACGCACCCGGCATCCCCCATTTCATGCGCCGGCCGGCCATGCAGCACAACACTGAGCAGCCCCAGAATAGCCTGTGTCTTGCCCGTGCCAGGCGGCCCCTGGATGAGCACCAGGGGGCTGCTGCTGCCATGTGAGCAAGGCTGGTGCTCACGGGCTGGTGCTCACGGGCTGGTGCTCACGGGCTGACACCAATTCCCACACACACACTCTCCCTTCCACTCCCACCTACCCACCAGGCCCACCCACTCACCCGGCATCCCTCATCTCGTGTGCGGGGCGGCCGTGCAGCACCACACTCAACAACCCTAGAATGGCCTGTGTCTTGCCCGTGCCAGGCGGCCCCTGGATGAGCACGAGGGGGCGGCGGGACAGCCCGCCCTTGATGGCCCTCAACTGTGACTCGTTGTGGCTGGATGCTAGGTGCTCCATCAGCCCCTCCGGTATCAAACCACTCATCCAGCACCCACCCACCTGACACCCAACAGGCACCCACCCACTCACCTGGCGTCCCAACAGGCACCCACCCACTCACCTGGCGTCCCAACAGGCACCCACCCACTCATCTGGCGTCCCAACAGGCACCCACCCACCCACCTGGCACCCAACAGGCACCCACCAGGCACCCACCCACTCACCTGGCATCCCCCATCTCGTGCGCCGGGCGGCCATGCAGAACAACACTCAACAACCCTAGAATGGCCTGTGTCTTGCCCGTGCCAGGAGGCCCCTGGATGAGCACGAGGGGGCGGCGGGACAGCCCGCCCTTGATGGCTCTCAGCTGCGACTCGTTGTGGCTCGCACTCAGATGCTCCATCAGCCCCTCCGGCACCCGCCACTGCTGCTGCTTCCCCTGCCCTGCGCCCGCGCCTCCCTCCTCCTCGTCCTCCACTCCTCCTCCCGCTCCTCCCGCTCCTCCTGATCCTCCTGCTGCTGCGACAGCTTGAGTGTGCCCCGGGGCGGGCATGTGGGAGGCGAGGACGGTGCGGATGTAGGGGAGCGTGGGGGCGGAGCGCAGAGCAGCATACTCCCGGGAGATGGTGGACGTGTTGCACAGCTTGCTCACCCAGCACGCACTGCCGCCTGTTGCCGCCGCCCCCATCAGGAACGACAGCATCCGGTTCGCCCTCGCCCGCTGCCGCACCCCCCACCTCCTCCCCTTCGCCTTCCCCGCGGCCGGCCCTGCTTCAGTACCCTCCCCCCCTGCCGCTGTTCCCCCGGCCTGTTCTTCGTCTGGTGCTGCTGCGGTGGTGGGTGGTCCCCCGGGGTCCGCCCACTGCCAGGGGTCCTCCAGGCACAGTCGCAGGCGCAGGGACGTCTTGGTCTCGCGCGACTCCACACTGGCGATGGCGTATGTGTTGGGTAGTGCACTGCCTCCCCAGGGCTGTTGGGGGAACAGAGAAAGGGGAGGGAACAGAGAGAAGGGTGGTAAGAGGGGGGAAGGGAGAAAGGGGCGTTTTGGTCTCGCGGGATTCCACACTGGCGATGGCGTATGTGCTGGGTAGCGCGTTGTCTCCCCATGGCTGTGGTGGGAGATGAGGGAGAGGAGAGAACATGTTGAGCCGGCTCAAAAGACGTCTTGGTCTCACGCGATTCCACGCTGGCGATGGCGTATGGGCATACGCCATCGCCATGAAGAGCAGCAGCAGGTCGTTGTCATGACAGTCGAAGACAAGGGCGCTCTTTGGAGGAGGAGAGGAGGAGAGGAGGAGTGTGCGTGATCCCACCATTTCCTTGGAGAGCAGCAGGTCGTTGTCGTGGCAGTTGGCGACAAGGGCGCTCTTTCGACGTGGAAAGGTCTTCTCCTTCGTCTTCTCCATCATCTTCTCCTTCGAAAGGAGACACGCGCGTGGACAAAGTCGCGCGCGTGGACCAAGGCGCGCGCGTGGGCCAAGGCGCGGAGAAGAGGAGTACAGGAGGAGAGGAGGAGAGGTGGAGAGAAAGCGTGATCGCACCTTTTCCTTGGAGAGCAGCAGGTCGTTGTCGTGGCAGTCGGCCACGAGTGCCTCCTTGGACGCCGAGAGGAGGAGAAGAGGAGAGGAGGAGAGCAGGAGAGGCGGGTTAAGAAAGGAAGAAAGAGCACGGAGTCACCTTTTCCTTGGAGAGCAGCAGGTCGTTGTCATGACAGTCCGCCACAAGCGCCTCTTTGGATGAGGAGAAGAGGAGAGCAGCGCAAAGGGGGAGGAGGAGAAGGGGGGTAGAGGAGGAGAGGAGAGAGCGTTAAGGTTACTTTTTCTTTGGAGAGCAGCAGCAGGTCGTTGTCATGACAGTCCGCCACGAGTGCCTCCTTGGACGCCACCCCCACCATGTGGAACTCGTTGGCGCGCTCACAGCGCACCGCCACCACCAGATGACTCTCCATGCCGCCTGCCATGCGGGGAGACACGCCACAACAGAGCAGAGGCAGGAGCAAGCATTTGGGCAGACAGGACGGGCGGGGAGGGGAGAACACCGGTCAAGAGCTCGGCGCCTCTGAGGATGTGAGCGCGGCATTCCTCCAGCAGCCGCCGCACAAACACATCCACATACTCATCTACAGCATGCCCATGTGCCCATGCAATCATGCGCATACACAGAAACCCTCTCTTCTCTCCCCCTTCCCCCCCGCACCTTGCTCCTCGGCCCCTCTGAGGATCTGCGCGCGGCATTCCTCCAGCAGCAGGCGTTCAAAGACGTCGACATACTCCTCTGCGCTGCTGAACTGCACCGGTACCTCCCTCAACTCATCCTCCTCCTCCCCGCCCTCCAACTCCCCCTCCGCCTCTGCCTCCACCTCTGCTTCCTCTGCCGCTGCCTCTGCTGCTCCCTCTGCTGTTGCCTCTCCCTCCCCTACCTCTCCGCCATCCACCTCCATCCCCTCCGTCGCTGCTGCCTCCCCGCCTGCCTCTGCATCAGCCAAAGCAGCATCCTTAGCCCCATCACCCTCCCTTTCTTCCACAGCAGCAGCAGCAGCATCAGCAGCAGCATCAGCGGCAGCAGGAGGGAGTTGGGGGAGCTTCCTGGGCTGCCGCTTCCTCTCCCTCACCTGCTCGCCCACACCCAGTGCCACATGTGACAGGGGGTGGGGAGTGGGGGGGACAGTGGGGAGAGAGGAAGCCCAGGAGGGAATCAGAAGTAGGAAGCAAGAGGCGTGGTGGGAGAGGAACGGGGTGAGGGAGGAAAGGTAGCACGAGAGTCTGGGAGGGAAGAAGCATGGGGAGAACGAGCAGCACCTTGGAGAGTGCGAGCATGTGGAAGAAGTCCCAGCTCAGCACGGTGCGCAGCAGCCGCGCCGTGCTCGCCGCCTTTTCCCCGCCCGCCTCCTTCCCGCTCCGCCCGGCCCCCGCACCGCCCGCCACTGTGCCCACCGCCATGCCGCCTTGCTTTGCTACAGACTCCGCGCGCGCGCGCGCGCGCTCGTTGGATAGATACCCTTGCGCACTCGTTCACTGCTTCACGCGGGCGCGCGTTCTCCCCGCATGGGCCCACCTACCCGCCGCTGCTATGCTCTGCCGCTCGCCAGTGCTGCGCGAGGGTCTAGGTCGCGACGCGGCGCAAACGGCTCGCAACGATTCGCCGTTTGAGGCGCAAAAATCCAGCAGCGGAATGCAGTAACGAGACCATCAGCGCGATTAATGACGGACGGAGGAGTTCGGTTCGGTGATCAAGAGTCCGTACTGAGTTTTTATATGGCTGGGCCCCAACTCTAAACAAAAATCGCCGTGTTAGTCTCAGCTTCTCGAGTCCGACAGTATCGAGTTAAAAAATCTGCAGGCTTCAAGGTTTAGGGTTTTGGACATTTGGTGCGCGCATTCTTTTCCACTTGGCCGCGCGCCAATTCCGATTCTGCCCCAAATTCACGTCTGGTCTCGCGCCACCTCGCACCATGGCTCCTCGCGCTCGCTCACACTGACTCGCGACTCGCAGAGCAGTCGCGCAGTCGAGCCGCACGAAAAGGGCCAGTCGCAGGGGCGCCATGGCAACCCCCGTCGCGCTGTCGCGCGCACCCGGCTTGCGCGTAGGGCTACTGCCCCCCCCCGCGTGTCCCGTCCGCTTCGCGCGTCCTTGCGTGCCACGTGGATTAATCTCGCGCGTGCCACTGTCCGGGGAACGAATTGCGGGGCGGCACTGCTTATATCGGGGCCTTCGATTAACGTGGGATTCATGCGGATACTGGGGGGTGAACGATTTTTGTCGTACCTATACCCCGCATGCCCACGAAAAGGGCACACGGGCGCACGAGGGGAGGATATGCGCTGCTGGAGGGGGAAGGCGGAGAGGCGGCAGCGCGCAGCAGGAGAAGGGCGGACGGACTGGGGGAAAGGATGGGTTGAAAGCGGGGAAGGGGAAGGGTGAGGGGAGGTACCGAGGGGGAGGGGCGGCGGAGAGGCAGACCCTCAGGGGGCTGATTACGCTTGAGCGGGAGTTGGAAGGAGGAAGGCAAGGGGAGGTTGCGCAAGGGGCGGCGGAGGGGGATGGCAGGCGCGGAGGGCAGGGGGGGAAGAAATGGAAGCGTCGGGTTGTGCTTCTGCGGTGCGACCTGAGTGACCTGGTGGAGAGGGGGGTTGTGGGGAAAGCGGAGGAGGGGGAGGGGAAGGGGGAAGGGGGAGGGGAGGGGGAGGGGGAGGAGTGCGAGGTGCGGAGTGTGGGCAGTTTGAGGCTGATGCTGCACGAGTGGGCGCGGAAATATGCGCTGGTGGTGGTGGTGGCGGGAGAGTGGGCGCCTGACATGGCCTCTCAACCTGCTGTTGCTGGTGAGACATGCGGCATGTGGCATGAGGCTTGTGGCAGGCAGAGCACATGGCAACCGCCTTAGCACATGGCTAGTCCTGCATGGCTGCATGGCGGTCGTGAGGCATGGCCCCTCTCACTTGTGTCGTTCGTTCTTACAGCCCTCCCTTATTCCAATTCCCCTCCCCTTCCCCCATGTGCAGCCCTGCTATCCGCGGCATGCGGCCTGCCCCAGTCCCAGCCTGTCCAGGTCGCGCCTCTGCACTTCGCCCCTCTCGTCTCGCCCCCACCACCAACAACCCCCACCACCACCACTCAACCAGCAACCACCTCCAATCCCCCCTCACGCCCACGCCACTCCCCTCCCCTCACCCCTCCCCCTCCTCGCGTCCTGCTGCTGCCCAACCTCCGCCACGTGTCATCCACCGATGCCGCCAACTCACCCACCCTAGCTACCACGCTGGCAGGCGTGGCAGAAGAACCAGAGAGCGCAGCAGCACACCAGGAGCTGCAAAGCCCAGCGGCTCTCTCCTCCTCCGCGGCCCCCTCCCTCTCCACTGCCAACATCCGCACCTCCTCTGTCCCGTTGGTAGATCTCGTGGTGCTGGATGCCCCTTCCGCGTGCCACCGCGTGCTGGCGTCATGCGTGGGCGTGGCAGCAGTGGTGGGGCGAGCCGTGGCCGGGCTGAGAGTGGAGCGCGAGCTCATGGGGGTGCTGGGGGGCTTGAGGGAAGTGGGGGAAGTGGGGGAAGTGAGGGAAGTGGGGGACGTGGGGGACGTGGGGGACGTGGGGGATGTGGGAGTGTTGGGCTTGATGGGGAGAGGGGAGGCTGGAGAGGTGAGTGGTGGTGAGGGGCGCAGTTCAGTGGTGACGGTGGTGGGAGTGGCGAGCATGGGTCGCAGTGGTGCGTTGATTCGTGCCCTGCTGCCTCGCTGCCATGCCCTTGTGCTCTCCGGCCCTGGGTTACCAGCCCTGCTCGCTGCTGCTGCTTTTTCGGGCCAATCACGTCCCTCGGGAGCTTCAAGTGGTCCAGATGGTTGTGAGTTCCACCTTACGCGCCTGCGTGAGTTCCCTGCCCTCGCCACACTACACTGCAACGAGACACAAGAGAAAGACAAGGCAGCAGAGAGCGAGGAGGCAGCGACAGCAGACAAGGTCCCACATACCCTCATCTCGTCCCTCCTATCTGCTCTCCCCCGCCCTTCCCCACAAGCCCTGGCGGAAGCCTCTGTCTTCCTCTCCTCGCTGCCCACTACCCTCCTCTCCCGCCTTGTGCTGCCCGTTGCTGTGCGTGCTGTACCTGCTACCCACGGCACCACCACTCCTACTCACTCCCACCAGCTCCCGAACCACCACCAGCAGCAGCAACAGCAAGTGGAGCTGTGTGCTTCAAGCATTGAAGACATCGCTCGCCTCTGTGCTGCCCTCAACTGCCAGGTCCGCACCCCCCTCTCCTCATGCCCCCCAATTTCTCCGCATGCCCCCCCTCTTCGCCTCATTCCCCCCCCCCCCCTTTCTCCTCATGCTCCCCCTTATCTGCATGCTCCCTCATGCCTCTCACCACAGTGCTACAATTGCATTTCCCCCCACCCTTCCACATTCACTCTCCTCCCTTTCATTCTCCCCCCTTGGATTGGATCCCAACAGACTGTTTTCTGGGCGGGCGCTATCTCCCTGCAGGCAACAAGAGAAACGCCAGCATCGCGGCAGAGCACCCATGCATCAATGCGGGGGGTACATGCGGCAGAGCAAGGATCGCATGCACTGCTTTGTGCGGACTCTGCTCTGCTCTCCCTTCTCACCTCTGCACCCACCAGCGAAAGCAGCAGTGCCAGCAGTGATCTCTGTGTTGGCATGGGTAGCATGGATACCGCTGGTCAGATCAGGCGGCCACAGCTCATAGTGGCCGGGCGGCAGCTGCAGCAGTTGCTGGGGCGGCAGTTACGGCAGCATGTGAAGATGGCGGGGAGGGAGGGGTGGAGAGATGGGGATGGGGAGGGGGAGGGGGGGAGGGAGTGTGTGGTGGTGAATGGAGGGACGGCTCTGCTTCGTGGACTCCAAGGGATGCCTCTTCCTGGCGTTGACTGCCTTGACTTCGTGAGTTGACTGGCATTTCCTGCATTGATTAGTCATGAACCAGTCATAATTAGCACCATTCTCTTGTGCTACCTCCCCTCATCTACCAATGTCTCTCCTAATCTCTCCCCTGATCACTCCCATATCTCGCCTCTGCCGCTTTCCTCTCCCACCTCTCTCAGGTGCCACTGCCGCCTCCTGATTGGTCCACAGTCTTCCTTGATCCCTCGCTCCCTCTCACTGTTGACATCGGTTGTGGTGAGTGCGAGAGTTGTGCATAGCTGGGAGACTCAGACATTTTGTGAGTGATTAAGAGAATAAAAAAGATCGAAGCAGGTTCACAGAGATAAGAAAACAAAACTACACTGTGCATCCTGTGTGGCCTTTGCTGTGTATGCCCGCGTGCATGTGTGTGTGCATGCATGAGTGCAGGCAACGGGCGCTTCTGTCGCAGCATGGCTTGGCGGTTCAGAGGGTCGAGGAACTTCCTTGGGGTCGAGATCAACCGCCATGTGTGTGCTGGGGTAGCGGCCAACGAGGCGTATGTGCAAGTGGCACATGGGCCAGTAGCATTCGTCATCCGTCCACGTGCTGCCAGATTGATGCTCCTCCACCACTCTCACTCTCACTCGCTCCCTCACTCTCTCGAATTTAAGACTCTCTACTCTGTGTCTCCCTCTCTCACTCTCACTCCCCCCTTTTCATCTCACCTATGGTCCTAGCTAGTTTGCATTTGCAAGTCGCTTTCATACCTTCCTTCACTCTGGCTCTCACTCCCAGTCTTCTTGCCCCTCTCCGTCTCACCCCCCAGTTGGTGCGGAAAGCACTCTCACTAGCTGCCGGCACTTCCCCAACGCATGATCAGGACGCGGAGTGCTCTGGCAGGGACACCCGAGAGCAGCGCAGGGAGCACCCACCCAGCAACGTGTATGCCATGTCATGACAAGTCGTGTTTATTCCTCCTAGCTACTTTTCTGTCGACTTAAAGCCTCCCCATTCTGTCCTAGCCCTTGTGGTGCCATACCCTTGCCTTTCTGCTGGCAACTGGTGTCTTCTGACCGTCTCCCTCTCTGCCTGCCCCCGTGGTGGTCCATGCAGGTGGTTCATCCATGCCAACGCCACCACTTCTCTGCACGCACTGCTAATCGGCTACCCTGGCCCCATCAACCTCATCACCATCCAGGTGCCTCTCCCACCCCGCATTCTCCTGAAGTGTCTTGAGAGTTGACTCACAACTCATCCCTGCCCCATCCACCTCCTCAGCTTTCAGCTCCCCATCCAATTTCCCATCTCCATTCAAAACGGGTGTCTGAACATTCCATTCTTGCCTAAGCATTCTCTCAACGTTCCCTTGCCCCTCTCACGCCCATGGCAGTGCCTGGACCCGCAGCGAGCAGGAGAGCGCATGAGAGGTGAGTTGTGAGTTGACTCAAACAGTCCCCTTCGTCAACGTTCCCTTGCCCCTCTCACGCCCATGGCAGTGCCCGGACCCAGACTTTGCAGCGAGCAGGAGAGCACAGGAGAGAGGCACAGCACACGTGCACCGGTGGGGCATGCTCACCCCTGCCCTCGTGGCTGCCATGCTTGCTCTGCTGCATCCCTCCGGCAAGGTACGTACTCTGTGCCGCGCTACACCTGTGGAACTGTGCGTGTGTGTATTTGTTGGAGTTTCTATGGCATGGTGTACTTTTGAGTATAAGGGCATGTTCCTACGCTCTTATCAGACAAACCTCTTGTCAGCCTTGCCTTGAAAAGGGGTTGGCCTGATAAGGGGCCGTAGGAACATGCCCTAAATACACATGGATCGATACAATGGGGGAATGTGTGTATGTCTGTGTTTTTTTTCTGGCTTGCAGATTCTCATCGAGTCAGACATTGAGGAGGTCGCCACGCGGTTGACGTGTGATGCCATTCAATGGTCTGATTGTCAACTCGTGTTGTGCAATGGCAATGTTGACAACACCAGTGATGGTAGTAATGGGAGTGGCATTCTAGAGCCTCACGTAGCACAAGGTTGTGGAGTTTCCAAGGGTCCCTTTACACCACATGAAACTCTGTTAGCAGAAGTGGAGTCCAATTGGGAAGTTCATGCGAAGAGGAAAGGCCGGTCGATGACGCCGTTTTGGCTCCAAAAGAGATGTAATGCATGGAGCATTAATTAGTAATCGTGTAACGTAAGTGACCTTACTCGTTTTCATCCGAGTCACTAACGTGTACGCACCAGCCTGCTCAAGAGACAAGAGTTGTTGGCTGATAAGTTATAAAACCAATTACATCCAGAACGGAGCAGCCAGATCCATACACAACACGTCCTACACCTGCCTTGTGCTGACGCAGGCAGTGCAATATATATTCCAGAACAACCAGACCAGATCCACACAGTCATCCACAACACATCCTTCTCCTGCCCTGCCTCATGCCCCGTGCACCCACAAGACCCTCAAGCCACTCCATTCCCTCTTCCTCCACCTCCCTTCAGCCGCTGCCATGATCACCTAACCCAGGAAGCCACCCGTCATGGTGTTCTAAGAGCGGATTTATTATGCAGTCTTGTCCACCGACTAAGAACAACAGCTGAGTTGTCGCAGTCTGGGCGGCTGCCATGGCATTCGCATGGCGACGTCGCAGCGTGGTATCGCTTATCGCCCTGTCAATCTCTCTCCTGCTGCTCCTGTCGCACGTCGCCTCCGCTTCGCGCCTTTCAACGGGCATTGACTCTCAACGCGTGGGTATGTCGCGCGATATCGAGTCAGTTAGCGGGAATGTAGCAACTGCTGCTAACTCTGATCCTATTTTGGAGTCTGAGACGTTTGGTCGCGTCGTTGCTAGGGTTTTGAAAGTGAAGAAGAAAAAGAAAAAGGCGACGAAGTCTGAGAAAGCAGCGGCGATTGCGGAGGAAGAAGCAGGAATCGCGGCCGACGCGGAGAGTGGAGCGGCGGACGATGCGGCCGACGCTGAAGTGGCGCGAGACGAGGGGGACGAGGAGGAATCTCGATTGGTTAAGAAGAAGAAGACGACAAAGAAAGCGAAGAAAACTAAGAATACGGGAAGCAAGAAGGCGGTTGAGTCTGTGAGGGAAGCGGAGGGGGAAGAGGAGGCGGAGGGGGGAGAAGTTGCGGAAACGGGGAGGAGAGCGGGTAGGAAGAGCGGAGAAGGGGGAAGCGGAAATGGAGAGGACGGGGAAGGTTTTTCCGCAGTGGATAAGGCGATGGCGGAGGCGGAAGCTGTGATTGCGAAGAAGGGGGGAGATGCGGAGGAGGGGGACGGGGCGGGGGAGGGGGAGCGACCGAAGAAAGTGAAGGGGAAGAAGAGTGGGGCGAGGGAGGCGGATGGAGGGGAGGAGAAGAGTGAGGAGGAGGAAGGTGGAGAGGGTGTGATAACGACGAAGTCAAGCAAGTCAAAACAGTCGAGCAAATCAAGCAAGTCAACAAGGGCAGCAAGGGGGAAAGAGGTTGAAGGGGAGCCGCAGGAGGCGGAAGGCGAGGAGGTTGAAGGGGGTGAGAGGGGTGAGGGGGATGAGGGAGATGAGGGGGGAGCAGCGGGTGCAACGAGCACCAGAAAGAAAAAGAAGAAGTTGAAGAAGCAAACGGAGAAGGGTGGGGAGGGGGAGGCAGGAGCAGCGCGGGCTGCTGAGGACGAGGAGGAAGCAGGGCCGGGTGGGGAGGGCGAGACCACGAGAAAGAGCACGACGAAACGCAGGGGCGAGGGCAGGGACGAGGGCAGGGCGGAAGAAGGGGCAGGCAGAGACGCAGTGCGGGCCACAGCTGCAGCTGGTGCCACAGCGGAGGCATCAGGTGGCGAGGAGAGAGAGGCCGCAGACGGAGCAGCGGCGGCAGGAGGTACGGGAAGAGGAGTCAGCAGGGGAGGGGAGGGCGTGGCGGAAGGCGGAGGAGGGGGAGGCGGGGGGGAAGGTGGGGGAGAGGGAGGTGGCGGAGGGCGAGCGGAGGAAGTGGGGTCAGAGGTGCAGGTGGCGTTCACGGGCCCACAGGACGTGATGGACGTGCCAGTGGACGAGGAGATGGTCTCCGTTGACCTCGAGGACATCCCCCCTGAACCCCCCCAGCCCACCCCCGCTGCTGATTCCGATGCTGCCGGCGCTGCCGATGCAGCAGGGAACGAGTCGCAGGGGGACACTGAGGGGCCGACTACCGGTGGTGGCGGTGCCGATGGTGGTGTCACCTCTGCTGGGGAAGGTTTTGGGAAAGCAGTGGTGGCGGGTGGGGATGCAGAGGAGGAAGGGGGGTTCCTTGCCCGCTGGTTCATCGGGTCCCTGGCTGCAACCCTGGAACCCATTCTCGCCCCTCTCTACCCCCTCACATCCCTCTTCCTCTCGCCCGGGCAAACTGTGCTCCTTGCTGCCGCCCTCGCGCTGCTTGCCTGCTGCTGCTGCTGCCTCTGCCTCTGCCGCTCCCTCTCCCGCCTCATGAGTACCAGCCGTGGGGCAGCAACGGTGGGCAGTGGCAGCTGGTTCGGCGGGAGGCATGGCCCAGGTGCGGCGTACTCTGAGGTGGCTCGGCAGGAGGTGGATTTGTCTGTTGCGTTTGGACAGCAGATTCCGGGGGGAGGGAAGCAGGGAGCGGGAGGGCAGGGAGGGGTGGGGGGAGGAGCAGGAAGGAGCAGGGCAGATGGTGGGTCAGAGTGGGATGAGTGGGACGAGGAATGGGGGGGTGCGAGAGAGGGGGGTGGAGGAGGGAGAGAGAAGGGGGTGGGGAGCGTGGGAAGTGGAGGAAGAGGAGTGGGTTCCGGGGATGGGTATAGTTCAGGGGAGGGAGGTAGGGGTGGGGTGAGGAAAGGGGGGAAACTGGTGGTGAGCAAGGGGGCAGGGGCAGCTGGCAAGGAAGGGTGGAAGTCATGAGATGCCTTCTGTACAAGGGTTAGCACAGGAACAGGAAGCAGGAACAGGAAGCAGGAACAGGAAGCAGGAACAGGGGTTGCGTTGTACGGTACGAGCTTGTTTAGTATCATATGCACATCTTAGACCATGGTAGCTTCACGGATTCAGCTGTAATGAGGGATTCTATCATTGTATACAGCAGCACAGGAGCATGACCTACCAGTACCATTACTCCCAAAGTTAGATTCACCACTCATGCCATTGCTGGCACCTCTAAGTCATGGGCCTCGGTGAGTGAATGCAAGGGCAACCGCTGCAGAGACTTACCGGTACCGGTGCTTCTGATATGATGCAGTGCTAAGGGTACATTCCTGTGGGGACACTTGTGTCTCAATCACTTTGTGACACCCAAAAACAACATAAACTGTGTTGTGTCCCAAATGCGAATCGGCTTTCGGCGACTTGTACTGTATTTATTATTGGTCAGCGTGAAACGCGCTGACATCGCTGTCGAATTGTGAAACGACCCGTCATTGTTAAAGAATCGCACGCGACTCGAAATGCCCGACACGACCACATGCACCTGGACATCCGAAAATGCCAATTTTGCGAGGGAAAAGATCCCGCGCATCGAAACCACGCCCCTGCTCGGAGGTTGAAAATACGGGTGTACTGTCACCCAGTCAAATGCACACACCTGTACATCTCTTTTTGATCCCCGCCAGTGAAACGTGTCCAACTGAACCTGCCAATATGTCGCCCTACATCGCGGTACATTCGATGTTTGTGACACAACATTGGGAAAATTAACAGGCGCGACTCGGGAAAACGGGGATTGAGACACAAGTGTCCCCACAGGAATGTACCCTAAGTGCAACCACCACCCCATTGTTTCTCCTCCCATGTAGGTAGTGGGGTACTGTTTATTCCCTTCGAAGAAAAAGAGTTGTGTTCATCTCTGTAACATCATTCACTTCCCGTGGTCTATAGTAACGCATCCTACAAAAACAAAAGAAAGCAACCATGTGGCATGGCAGACCAACTCTCTGATGCTAGAGAAAAAGTAGATAATTGTGAAAATGATGAGTACAGTGCTGGTAAGGAAGCTAATGCCCCAGTGCTTCCTAAGGGGGGTGTGAATACCTCTATGGTCAAAAGTTAGCTGATCTGAGACCGTCAGAAGCAAGTGGCATGTGGGTGAAGCAGTAAGCAGATGACACACTAGCGAAACCGGTGGCGTGTGGGGTTGTTTACGGTACTTGTCAGTAAGCACATAGAATTGCCTAAACACCATTGTGAGAACCACATGAGCTGCCTTGCCCCTGCTGGATGGTGCACACATGGCAGAAAAGCAGAGAGGCATGCGATCTCATATGCTCTCTGTACTGTAATCTCATATAGTGTTGTAAACCCCACTGCTCTAGAGAGCGGACGGAGGAGAGACAGGGGAGGAGAGAGGAGTGTAAACCATGTAATGCGCCTCTCCCTACTGCGTCTTCTCTTTCTCTCTTCTCCCTTCTGGGTGAGTAAAGTGGGAGCATCTTTGGGTTGTGCGATGGAAGATAAGTGTGCAGGGTTGGTGCTGAGGGGAGCATGAAGGCCAGTTGACGGAGGATGCATGCTATTTGAGGGCGGCGATTTGGAATTGCAGATGGGTTGAGGTGGATGGAGATACACATGGGGTTGCATATGGGGCAGGGCATGTGCATATGGGGCAGGGCATGTGCATATGGGGCAGGGCATATGCATATGGGGCAGGGCATGTGCATATGGGGCAGGGCATGTGCATATGGGCAGGGCATATGGGGCAGGGCATGTGCATATGGGGCAGGGCATGTGCATATGGGGCAGGGCATGTGCATATGGGGCAGGGCATGTGCATATGGGGCAGGGCATGTGCATATGGGGCAGGGCATGTGCATATGGGGCAGGGCATGTGCATATGGGGCAGGGCATGTGCATATGGGGCAGGGCATGTGCATATGGGGCAGGGCATGTGCATATGGGGCAGGGCATGTGCATATGGGGCAGGGCATGTGCATATGGGGCAGGGCATGTGCATATGGGGCAGGGCATGTGCATATGGGGCAGGGCATGTGCATATGGGGCAGGGCATGTGCATATGGGGCAGGGCATGTGCATATGGGGCAGGGCATGTGCATATGGGGCAGGGCATGTGCATATGGGGCAGGGCATGTGCATATGGGGCAGGGCATGTGCATATGGGGCAGGGCATGTGCATATGGGGCAGGGCATGTGCATATGGGGCAGGGCATGTGCATATGGGGCAGGGCATGTGCATATGGGGCAGGGCATGTGCATATGGGGCAGGGCATGTGCATATGGGGCAGGGCATGTGCATATGGGGCAGGGCATGTGCATATGGGGCAGGGCATGTGCATATGGGGCAGGGCATGTGCATATGGGGCAGGGCATGTGCATATGGGGCAGGGCATGAGCATATGGGGCAGGGCATGTGCATATGGGGCAGGGCATGTGCATATGGGACGATGCTGCAGATGCGTGTGGGGATGTGGGGCTGATGAGAGACGCCCTGAACGTGGGGGTGGGGGGAGTGAGAGGAGGGAATGTGGGGGAGCAGCAAGAGGCATATCTGACATATAGTTACACCCTTGTGTTCATAAGTCACACTCAGCTTTTTCACCTTACAGACTAAGAAGCCACATTCACCTTCCAACTAACCAAACCTCCCCATCACTCACCTTCCATTGCCGTGTCAACTCTTTCATCTCTGCCATAAGCTCTTTAACCTCCTCATCTTTTGCCTGCACTCTGGTTTTCAGCTCCACGACGTCCGGATGGCTGGACGGTGACACCAAATGTGAACAAGATGAAATGTAAAGCACAGGGAGATCATTTAATACAATTGAGATTGAGCAAGCATGACAAAACTCTCAACAGGAAGCATTAGTAACACATCACTGCAAACGGGTGAAAGGCACATCATCAACGAAATGGTGCGATTCAACAAGAATGTACCTGAAAAGTTGCCGAAGATCGGAATATTCTGTTTGGAAATATCTCGATTGAAGTATGATATGCGGATTGAGGTGGGGGATACAAAACTGAGCTTGGGTATTGTTGATAATCTGGGTGATGGAGAGAAGTTTAGCTCCACTCCGTTCTCTCCATATCCCACATTATCAACAATATCCACATTCACCTTTGTACCATCTACCTCAATCCGCACATCATGCTTCAATGATTTTATTTTATTTTCAAACGAAATATTCAAACCTTCGTCAAATTTTATGCGCATCCTTGATGAATCTCACATTTTCATTGATGTTGTGTCTTTCGCCAACCTGGCACGTAAGGCGTACCGTATACCGTACGCCTTCGTAGTTGTACTGCACGAGGTAAATAGTTAAAACAAGATGCATCTTCAAGCGTTCGTACAGTCTGAACCATTTCAAATGCCTCAACCACATCATCCTTTTGTCATTGCAGAAACCCCTCCACCGCCACAATACAATGTGAACCCGCAACAACCTAGTGTTGAAGATTCTAAATTGAGAAAACCTAGGATGGACATGAACATGAGCACGTAGATCATCATATCCATGAGTCAGGCAGAATAACCCTCCCTAACACATAACTCCTTACTCTACTAACCAGCATTGCTGTTACCATGCAGCCACCACGCCCAAGGATGTGCGTGACATGGTGAGAGGGTGGGTTGTAGTGAGCGGTTGCGAGAGTGCTGGACAAGTGAGTGAGCATGTGGGAGGTGCAGGCATAGCAGCAGTTCTGGTACCATGCAGGCACCACGCCCAAGGACGTGCGTGACATGGTGAGAAGGTTGCTGGTAATGAGTGGGTGCAGGAGGAAGTTCGGGGCATCGTACCTTGTTGGCGGAACTTTCGTTTGCCACAGCGACGTGAGTACAACGGAAAAAAACATTTCCTTTTTTCCCCTTATCACCTCCATACCACACCCCACAATGAGCTGGCCCTCTACCACCTTCACCCCTGCCTCCACACCTCCACCAAATGCTTCAACCTTTACCTTCCCTAGAGGACGGTAATCCTGGTCCTGGTGGGATGGGAAGGGGGAGAAATGGTGGGAAATAACAGGGCACAAAATGAGAGGGAGCAAAGTATCTACCCATTCGTGCTACTAAACAGAATTTTTGGTCAAACTATAAAATCCGCTTCCTAAGTAAACTCTTGTTTTCTCCCACAGCCCTTTGGTGTCGTGACAACGAAGGACATTGATGTCGCAGCTACCCACGGGGTTGTGGTGCTGACTTACCAGGTCGAGGTGCTGCCTGATGTTGTGACAGAAGCCAGGAAGAAGGGAGTGGATGTGCGGGTTTCTTCGCTGCTTCCTGACTTGAAAGCCGCCCATTGACCAAGATCTTAGCCCAAAATGCCGGCTTTCAAGTCAGGAAGCAGCGAAAAAAACCTGCACATCCACTCCTTTCTCCCTGGCTTCTGTCGCAACATCAGGCGGCACCTCGACCTGGTAAGCTAACACCACAGCCCCATGAGTATCTGCGACATCAATGTCTTTCGTGGTCACGGAATGGATTCAAACACGGATGACATGACAGCCACACTCATTGCTGGCTACCGCATTCAGCAAGCCATGGCACAGCACCCGGCACAGCACACAACACATGCTTCCACATGATGCCATGCCATTATGGTTCTCAAGAATCATCACAACGGAATGCATCACTGCCAGCCCTCACCACTGCCAGCAGCACCAGTACCCGCACTGCAGTGTCTACCACAGGGGTTGCTCGCTACTCTATACACTGCTAGTCATGCCTTGTACTCACCACGGGTGCCATGCACACAGGTGTTGTCTTCTCCCCACTCATGCCCCACTCACCTGAATTGTCTCACAATCAAAATGGGACTGCTCGGACTCGCTCAGCTGCACGAACGTTGGACTGCTCACACACACACCTGCAGGAAGGAGCTGGAAGGGCAGGGCGGGTTGAAAGCATGAAATGTTTGAGAAAAGCTTTCGTCATGACAGGAGCGATGGAATGCGGGGAAGGGTGGAGGAGGTGAACGGAGGATGTGAACCCAGACAGGGGAAGCGGAGCAACTGCTTGAGGTGGCTCAAGCAGTGGGACACTAGCGAGGAGTTAAGGGCCATGCGAACCTGATAAAAAAACAAACGTGGTAAGCCAGAAACACACACACGTCCTGGGCAACCATGAAATTGTGATGACAGCTTGCAATGGGAACGAGGAATGGCAGGGGCAATGGGTAGGGCGAGGAGCAAGGGGGGGGCAGGGGCATTAGGTAGGGCATGGAGCAAGGGGGGAGGGTGGGGGCAGGCAAGGAGAGTGGCAGGGGCTTGGAAGAAGGTATGACCGAATGGGCAAGGAGGTTGGGAGAAACGCAGAACTGAACTGTGGGAAATGCATAATCAGTGCTTAGGTACAGCGGAGTAGGCCGAGGAATACACTGGGGTCAACAAAGTTGTAAAAAGCTGACCCCTAATATACACCGCGGCGGGCAGCTCGCACCGTGCGGGTGTCGAGTCGAACATGCTAATGTTTGAACAGTTGAACAAGAAATGTTCGGCGCGGCTTGGCAAGCACATGGCGCACCGAACCAGATTTGTTCAGCGCGGCTCAGCAAAGACATGGCGCCCAAACCAAACATGTTCAACACGAATCCAACCGTGTTCGCGCGCGCACCTGCAGGATGTGCCGCCCTTGGGATCCGCAGAACCGCACATGATGTGCCGCCCTTGAAATCCGCAGAACCGCGCGTGATGTACCGCCCTTGGGATCCGCAGAACCGCGCGTGATGTGCCGCCCTTGAGATCCGCAGAACCGCGCGTGATGTGCCGCCCTTGGGATCCGCAGAACCGCGCGTGATGTGCCGCCCTTGGGATTCGCAGAACCGCACACCTGCAGCGTAAAGGATGGGACGGGGGGAAGGGAGCAACGGCGTGAGGTGGCTTACACACCTGCTCGAACCCGCTCAGCTGCAAAAAGCTGAACTTCTCGTCATGACAGGAGCATGGAAGGGAGGCAGGGTCGAGGAGAGGCAGACCTAGAACTCGAAAGGAGGATGTGACAGCCGTGTGACCCACTGAAGCGTGTATGCACCTGCAGGGGGGGTGGAGGGACAGGGGGAAGTCGACCAACGGGGTGAAGTGGCTTAGGGTGGTGACACTATCAAAAGCGTCGGCCGAACTGGCAGGCATGGCTGGATCCTTCCACGTAAAGGGGGGCGGGGGAAGAAGAGGTTGACATCACGGTAAGAACTGATGAGCAAGAAGTGGTGAGAACATCGATTTTCCAGTTTACTAGGACTTGCGGATTAGCGGAAAGGAGGATAGAGGTAGATCGGAGAGAATCACGAGAAGGCGAAATGAGCGACGAGAGCGAGGGAGAAGGAGGAAATGACCTCACCGTAAGACTTGATGAACAAGATGTGGAGAGAATGTTGATTTCCGAGTCTACTAGGTGTTGTGGATTAGCGGAAGGTAGAGAATACATCAGTACGGTATGTACGTTGTGAGACATCGCCATGTCCCTCTGCAACGGGGATGGGTCGTGACAAGCTCGAGAGGCGACGGTGACAGGATGGCGCTTGGGCGCAAGCAAGAGACGCGAGCGACGGTTTGGTGTGAGTCAGAGGGTGATCCCCACGGGCAGCTCCGGCCCGGTGTCCCGGTCAGGAACCGAAGGTTCGGGCCTCGGTATTCTCGTTGGGAGGGTCGGGCGAGGTGGGCGGTGCCAGGTCAGTGCCAGCCCGGTTTCCTTCGCGTGACCCGGGTCACGACGTCGAGGGCATCGGCCCTCCTCGCGGCCCCTTCCTCGAGGGGAAAGACGACGCCCTCGGCCCGAATAGAGTGCTCGAGATCTGTCCGTTTGGGACTGCACGCAAGCGCGGCTCGGATTAAAACCAGGGTCTCACGTAGATAATTTGTTTTGCAGTTGATCACTTCACCTTGGTTGGGATTGGTTGGTGAGGTGTAAAGAATGACGGGCGGTGTGACGAGGGGAGCGAAGGAAACACGATTCGCAGTTTGTGTCCGAACCATCTAGGCACGGAAATTGGTTCGGTGCCAAAGCTAGAACACCAGCAAAATGTTAGAGCATCCCGTCAGTCTCATGTACCCATCAAAATGTTTTGCAATTGAATGAGAGGCAAAAACGGGAGGTGTCGCACAATCAATTCCCAAACCAACCCCTAGACTTCGCCACCTCAAACAGGGTGACGAAGCTTCAATTGTTTTGCAGTTGATCACAATTTCTCTTACGTGAGACCCTGGTTTGGAGGCCAGCTGATGCATGCAGTTGCTCCTCCCAAGACTAGTCGAATGAACTCCTTCACAGCACAAACCATTTGTCCCAGTGATATCATACTTGCATTCATCTTGTAACAATTACAATGACTTTTTATGTACAAATTTCGCATTTCTTACTACAAAATTGAAGCAAGAGGATTTTGAAAATCTTAAAGAAGAAAGACATACAAATAGAAAAACGGGCTCACTCCTGGTGCTACACCTCACAAATCATCTCAAGGTCGAGGCACAATATTTACAGGGCTTGTGCACGTATAATTAAGCCAAAATAAGGGATCGTCCTCTAAACTAAACTAATTACAGGGCACGGCTGTTAGAAACCGAATGATGATTGACTATTGTGGGTTGGGATACATAAACCTAACCCTGACTACTGTACCCCATATGATTCGCATCACTAAAGGCTACAACATTTGACAGCGGCATCAAAGCTCATGCATTGAGGAATCACATCATGCGCAGTTTTGCGCATCGAACAACGCCAGCGACAAGGTTTGTGCATCTAGGCACCAAATAGAGGGCTTGGTTGGTTCGATCATGGCTAGAAGTTACAAGGCTGTGCAGCAGGGTTTGTGCATTGAGCACAACGACAAACAGAACACATGCATCGAAGAGCACCAGTTACAAAGGGTTTTGCAGGAGGCGCACGAATTGCCCATCTCAGACCGTCAGATGTAGTCAGCACGCGGGTGAAGCAGTAACCAGATGGGTGGGCAGATGACAGACGAGCGAATCCAGTGGCGTGTGGGCTTGCCTACTCGTTAGTCAGCATGTGAAGTTGACTACTCGTCATCGGAGTCAATGAGAATGACATTTGCTGCCATACCCCCTGCTGGATGGTGTACATATGGTCGAGAAGCAGAGAAGCAGAGAGGCGGAAAAGCATAAGGGCGGAGAGGTAGAGAGGCAGAGATGCATGTGGGGGGCGATGGCAGAGGAGAGGCATGTGGGGTTGTGAAAGGAGAAACATGGCGGTGCATAAATGGAACTGCAGTGGGACAGAAGTGGAGTGACTCGCGAGAAAGGAGAAGACAGAGAGAGGACCGAAAAGAGGAGACGGGAGAAAGGAGGAGACAGACAAAGGAGAGAAGAGAGAAGTGAGAGGAGAGATGAGAGAGGAGAGAGGAGAGAGGAGAGAGGAGAGAGGAGAGAAGAGAGAGAAAAGAGAGGGGAGGAGACAGGAGGGAAAGGAGTGGACTGTAAAGCGAGTAAGACAACTGCTTCTCACCATGCATGCACCCCTGCTGCTGGACGTGTGGGGCGGGAGCATGCTGAGGCTGTGCCATGTCAGGGAGGTGAGCAGCGTTGGCGTTGAGAGGGGCATGGGGGCCAGTTGACGGCGGATGCATGGCATGTGAGGGAGTTGAGGTGGCGTTGCACTGCCCATGGGGCTGTGGTGCATGGGGCTGTGGTGCATGGGGCTGTGGTGCATGGGGCAGGGCATGCGGTTGAGTTGAGTGACTTTGTGCATAGGCATGTTGCACATGGGGTTGGGCATGGATGGCATGGGGCTGCGCATGGGGCGATGCTGCATGGGGCGATGCTGCATGGGGCTGCGCATGGGGCTGCGCATGGGGCTGCGCATGGGGCGATGCTGCAGCTGTGTGTGGAGATGTGGGGTTGGGAAGGGGCGGTGAGAACGTCGTAGGGGGCGGTGAGCGGAGAGCATGTGGGGGAGCAGCAGGTGAAGAGGATGCAAGAGGTAGAGGTGCAGTGACGAGGGCAGGAGGAGACATTGCAGCAGCAGCTGAGAACATGGCAGCAGTGGCAGCGGAAGGGGAAAGTGGAGCAGGCAGAGGAGACATGGCAGCAGGAGGTGCAGCAAACACACGATTCACTCCAGAAACTGTGAATAGATGTGAGTTCTGCTGCTGCTGCTGTTGCTGATGCTGCTGTTGCTGTTGCTGTTGCTGCTGCAATTGCTGTGGCGGCTGCTGCTGCAATAGCCATCGGTGCACAAAAGCATTTTCCATGGCAGCTATGTCTTGCACAGCTGACACAGGCATGCCACGCTGCTGCTGCTGCTGCTGCTGCTCCTGGCGATGCTGCTGGTGGTGGTGCTGCTGATATTGGTGCTGGTGTTGCTGCTGCTGCTGTTGGTGCTGGTGTTGTTGCTGCTGCTGCTGCTGCTGCTGCTGCTGCTGCTGTCATTGTTGTTGCCACTGTTGCTGCCACTGCTGCTGCTGCTGACGGTCTTGCTGCTGCTGGTACTGTTGTCGTTGCTGCTGATGGGACCGTTGAGAGATCAGACAAGGCAAGCCACCCGTGTCAGCAGCTGCACCTGCCGTGTTAGCAGCAGCACCTGCAGTGGCAGCAGTGGTGGGAGGAAAGGCACGGGGGAGTGGAGCGACGGCCACTTGAGCAGACGGCACGGCGCCAGCAGTGGCAGCAAGAGGTGCAGTAGCGGCAGGAGAAGCAGCAGGAGCGGCAGCAGCTCTGGCACCAGCATTCGTAGCAGCGGCAGCAGAAGAGAGAGAACGGCTTGGCATGCCCACCACAGGATGGGGCAGAGAGGGCATTTGTGCATGCACAAGCACATGCACATTCCGCTGCCGCTGCATTGGTACCTGCTGCTGCTGCTGCTGCTGCTGCCGCTGCTGCTGAGTCAGCGCTTGTTGGCCTGAGAGAACAGCAGCAGACACAGGAGCTGGCGTCACAGGGCGTTGCTGGGGAGCAACTGCGGATGCATCAATGCCTGTACTCACTGCACTCATGGCTGCAGTCACTGCAGTCACGGCAGCATGCCGTGCAGCGTGCATGCTCGTTTGCATGCTCGTTGTGCCCGCATGCACGGTGGCTGGCGTGCCGACAGCTGCTGCTCGAGTGCCCATTGCTGCTGTAGGCAGCGCTGCTGTGGTTAGTGAATGCACATCCATTGCCCCCACACCACCACGTCCAGCAACCCTTGCGCCACCGGCATGAGCACCACCAGCAGAAGCCCCAGCAGCCGCAGCAGCCGCAGCAGTCCCAGCAGTCCCAGCAGTCCCAGCAGTCCCAGCAGTCCCAGCAGTCCCAGCAGTCCCAGCAGTCCCAGCAGTCCCAGCACCACCTCCAGCAACCCTTGCTCCCGAACCTGCTGCTCCCGAGGCTGCTGCCCCCGCCCCACTTGAGTATTTGGCCTGCCAAGCCTGCAGCAGCGGTATCAGACCATCCACCATCCCTATGGCCTCCCTTGTCCTCTCCATTTCTGCCGCCCCTTTCGCTCTCACCACCGCCTTCCTCCGCTCAAACCGCTGCAGCACCAGCGCCACCTGGCGCTCCTTCTCATCGTCCAGCTGGCGCTCTACTGCCAGCGTGGCAGCCTGCTGGTGCTTCATAAGATCCTCCAGACGCAGCCGCTCCGCCAGCAAGATATCCCGCGTGGCAGGGGTGATACTCTGGGCGGCAGCGAGAGTGGAAGTGTCCATGGGGATGTGGTCTGAGGGGGGGGGAGTGGTGATACCACTGCCAGGCACACCAGCAGCAGGGTGACCATTCTGCTGCTGCTGCTGCTGCTGCTGCTGCTGCTGCTGCTGCTGAATGTCGCTGATGAGCAGGCGTTGGTGCTGAAGGGCGTTGAGGCGGTGCAGGAAGCTCAGGCGCGGAGGGGATGGCTGCCGTGGCGGCCTGCACATGCGCGGGGGAGGCAGATCGGAGACTGCATGTGGTATAAGCTCTGCTGCTGCTGCTGCTGCTGGTAAAGATGGTGCTGGTAAAGATGGTGCTGGTAGTGATGGTGCTGGTAGTGATGGTGCTGGTAAAGATGGTGCTGGTAGTGATGGTGGTGCTGCTACTGGTAGTGGTGACGCTGCTGCCACTGGTGGTGGTGGTGGTGTTGCTGCTGCTGCTGCTGCAGCAGCTGCTGGTTCTACTGCTGATGCTGGTGCTGGTGTTGGTGCAGCTAATGTTGCTGGTGGTGGTGTTGCTGCTGGCGCTGCTGCTGCTGCTGCTGCTCCTCCTCCTGCCACTGCTGCTGCCCGTGCAGGTGCTGAAACCGGAGCTTCAGCAGTGCTCACTGCAGTGGTGCCAGGGCCAGGCGACGCTCGCTCTGCCATTTCTGTATCTCCTGCCACTGTCGAGCCTGTCCCTAAAGAGCCTGCCACTGCCGGGCCTGCCACTGCCGGGCCTGCCACTGCCGGACCTGCCACTGCCGGACCTGCTGCTGCTGCTGACCCTGAATGCCAGCCTTCCCTCACTCCTCCACTCACCTGTTCCCCTCTCTCCATCTCCCCACCTTCTCCTATCCTCGCTCTTGCTGCTTCTTCTCCTCCTCCCTCCCCTGCTGGTTCTGCATGTGCCTCTGCCATCGCCACCTCCCCTGCTCCCTCCATTCTTCCTGCTCCTTCCCCACTCGCCATCCCTGTCACTACAGCTGCTTGCGCCCCCTCCCCTCTCTCTCCTGCCTCTGTTTCTTCTCCACCCTCTGCCACCTCTGCACCCTCTGCCACCTCTGCCACCTCTGCCACCTCTGCCACCTCTGCCACCTCTGCCACCTCCGCTCCCTCCGCTCCCTCTGCTCCCTCTGCCCCATCTGCTTCCACTGCCCTCTCTGCTCCCTCTGCCCCCTTTGCTCCCTCTGCCCCATCAGTCATCTCTGCGTCCTCTTTTCCATCTGCTCCATCTGCTCCCTCTGCTCCATCTGCTCCCTCTGCTCCCTCTGCTCCCTCTGCTCCCTCTGCTCCATCTGCCCCTTCTTCTCCGTCTGCTTCCACCCCTACCTCTGCTCGCTCTGCTCCAACAGAAGAACGGCCAATCTGACCCTGCGCACCCTCAGCCCCAGTCCCCTCCTCTCTCTCCGCTTCATTCCCACTCCCTTGCTCCTTCTCAGCCCCATCCCTACCTTCTTCTCCGCCCTCCTCATGGACCCTCTTGGCTGTATCTGGTGCGGCTGTATCTGGTGCAGCTGTATCTGGTGCAGCTGTATCTGGTGCAGCTGTATCTGGCGCTGGAGCTGTTGTTGCTGCAACCATGTCTGCTACAGCTAAGTCTGCTACAGCTGTGTCTGCTACAGCTGTGTCGGCTGGACTCACTACAGCTGTCTCGGCTGCACTTGCTACAGCTGTCTTGGCTGCACTTGCTACAGCTGTCTCGGCTGCACTTGCTACAGCTGTCTCGGCTGCACCTGAGTCTGCTACAGCTGCGTTGACAGCAGGTGTGCTCTTGGGGGAAGCATCTGCTACAGGGACGTCAGGTGCAGCACTGTAGCCTGCAGCACTGTAGCCTGCAGCAGTGTCGACTGCAGCAGTTTCCAGAGATACAAGCGCGCTTCTCCCTTCCTCCTGCCCACACTCACCGCCATCACCCTGAGTTGACGCCACTTCCCTCCCATCCCCCAATTCCTTCCCATCCTCCATTTCCCTCCCATCCCCTAATTCCCTCTCCTTCCCCACTTCCTTTTCATTCCCTCCTTCCTTTTCCCCCACCTCCATTTCCTCCCCATCTCTCCTCTCACCCCTCTCCCTCCCCACACCATCTGCACCGTCCATCTCTCCTTCCTCCCTGCCGCGTGTCTCCACATCAACCGCTTGCTGCTTCTCCCCTTCCCCCTCCTCACCTCCTTCCGCCTCCTTCCCTCGCCCTCCTCCTTCCTCCTTCTCCTTTTCCTCTTCGTCACCTCCCTCCTTCCCCGATTCCACCTCCCCTCTCCCCTCCTCTCTCGCCTCCTCCGCCCTTCCCTTCGCCTCCATCCGCCCTTTAATCGCCTGCCCGTCTCCAGCCACCCCATTCACAGACTTCTCCCCCGCTTTCATACCCTCCACCTCGCTTTCACCACCCTCCATCTGCCCATCCCTTAGCTCAACTGCCGCCTGTCCGCTTCCTCCCACTGATATCACCTCCCCTTCACCACCCTCGGTCTGGCTGTCCCTTAGCTCCACCGCTGCCTGACCCCTTTTCCCTGCGATCACATCCATGCCCACCAGATTCTCCCCCGTTGTAATCACCTGATCCGCCACATCCATTGATATCCCCACATCGTTAACCGCCCCCACCTCTCCTTCACCACCCTCCTTCTGCCTGTTCCTTGGCTTTGCCGCCTCCTGACTGCCTTTCGCTGATATCACATGCACACCCACCAACCTCTCCCCAGCTGTAACCTGCCCCGCCTCTCCTCCAAGCCCCTCTTTCGGCATCGCCCAATCCTCCTGCGCCTGCCTCTCCATGCCTCCTTTCTCCCCTCCCATGCCTTCCTCCTGCCCGTTCAAGCCAGCCTCGTGCCTTGATCGCTTTCCCAGCACAGAGCTCCCCGCACTCCTCTCCACTGCAGCCCTCCTACACGGCAACTCTCGCACCGCACCATCTGCGCCATCCCCACGCCGCTTGGTCACCCCAGCAGCCCCAGCAGCGCCAGCAGCCCCAGAAGCAGATGCAGTTGCAGCAGCCACAACAGCAGCAGCAGCTGCAACAGCTGCAACAAACTCTGCACGCAACAGCTGCCCATGACCATCCCCCCCTTTACCTCCCTCTCCTGCCATCCCCGCTCCCTCATCTCCCCGGACTTTCATCTGCCCATTCTGGGCCCCCTCCTTACTTCCTCCCACCCCCCTCCCTCCAATCCCTCGCCCTCCTACCCCCCTCCCTCTTCCCCTTCCCACTCCCACCAGCACACCTCCCCGAACCACTCCACACCCCCGTCGCACCGCTCTCCCTCCCGTTCTCCCCGGTAACCCCCCCTTTGACCCACCGTCAGGGGATGGCCTTGCTTCATTTTCCGCCCTGCCACGGGAACTGCTTGGTGCCACCTGGTTAAGGGGCTGTTCATGCCCCTCTCTGCCACGTGGGATGCTTGCTGGCACCTGGCCTGCCACCTCATCCATCCCTTCACCACGTGTCTCCCTGCTTTCCGTTCCACATGTCACTGCATTCAATGGGCCAGCTGGCACCTGCTTCGCCACATCATCCCTTTTCGTGCCTGCCTTATCTCCCAGCTTTCCGCATGTCTTCTCTTTCGGTGAGCCACCTGGCATGTAATCTGCCACGTCATCCTCCCACTCATGCGCCTCAGCGTTCACCACGCCACATCTCCCTTCATTTGCTGAACCACGTGGCAGATCATCCAGCCACCTGGGATCATCTGGGTGACACAGGCCCCCAGGATCGCCACAAAACCTCACCTGAGAATTCGCCTGAGAATTACCACTGCTACCAATTCCAGGGTGGCCATGCAAACGTCCAGGTGCACGCTCAGGTGAAAAATCAAGTGGGAAACGGCGTTCAGGTGGTAAGTCAGGGTGGTGCAGGACACTGTTTGGGTGGAGGCCGTTTTCAGGCAGTGGTGGTGGGCTTGGAGGGTGATTAGCTGGCGGGAGTGACGGGGCTGGGTGCGCAATGGGAGGGGGAGGACATGTGTGGGGACTGCTGGAAGGGGATTTGGACTTCTGGGTCGACACACAAGCCTTCTTGGAGGGGGAAAATGGCAGGCGCAGGGGCGGATGGGGGGTGGAGGCACGTGGTTGGTGAGGTGCGTTCGAAGGGGAGTTGGGAGGGGTGCGGGAGGTGGTAGGAGATTGAGGGTGGTTGCGGGGAGTGGGAGGAGGCGTAGGAGCGTGGTTGAGAGCAGCAGTGTGAGGATAATGGGGGTGGGCGTTTGGAGGGCGTGCGAGGAAAAAGGTGGGGGGATGGTTGGCATGGAAAAGCATAGGAAAGCCAGGCGGATGATGACGTGGCATAAGGGTAAGCGGACCATGCTGACTGGGTGGATGTGGGCCAGGCTGACTTGGCAGATGTGGGCGGTGCTGACTGGGCAGCTGGAAACCACGGGGGCCTGGGAGGGATGCGAACATAGGTGGAGGGAGGGACGGAAACCCATGGGGATGACTGAGCCCCTGGGCCGACAATGCATGGGCCCGTTCAAATTCCTCATGAGTTCTGTACACATGTGAGGCATGGGGGGTGGGCAGTGCAGCGAGGGGTGTGGGGAGCAATCTATGGGGCCCAACGCCCCATGGGTCAAGATTCCGACCCGCTCTGTCCCTTGATCCCTGCTGCCTGCTTGCGCGGAAATTCGGGCTGAGGGGCGCGAGAGGGAGGGGGCGGTGGACTGGCGGATGGGTGGGGGGGAATGGTGGGTGGAGGTGGGAGAGGGAGTGTGAGAGAGTGGAGGGTGGGTTGCGGGAGTGGCGGAACGGGGATGAGTGAGAGCGACGCAGAGAGCTGTCTAGATGCTCATGCCCTGCCTGCCCACTGGACTCATTCCGCCCATCCTGCTGCTCATGATGCTGCTGATGCTGCTGCTGATGCTGCTTCTGTGATTCCAACTGCTGCTGCTGTGACTCTTGCTCCTGCTCACACGTTGCCAGGCTCCCTCCCTCCTCAACGGCCCTGTGCTGCTCCAAGGAGCGCCCATCACCACCACCACTTGCACCTCTCCCCTCCATCTCCTCCTCCTCGTGCCACTCCCCCTCCTCCATCTCCACACTCCCCTCCTCGCCACCCTTGCCCAGCCTCTGCGCCCCGTCAACCACTCCGCCCTCCCTTCCCATTCCTCCCTCTCTTCCCACTTCTCCTTCTTCTCCCACTCTTCCCTCCTTTCCCACTCCCCCCTCTCTTCCCACTCCTCCCTCTTTCCGCACTCCTCCCTCCCTTCCCACTCCTCCCTCTCCCTCTGCTCCAGTCAGCCTCGCCGTCCCTTCTCCTGCTCTACCTTTCCCCCCTGCATCCCCCACCAAGCCTCCACCTTCTCGCTCCCCCACTCCCTTCGTCCCCGTCACTCCCTCGTCTCCTTGCCTGCCCACATCCCTCCCCCTCTCACCCACCTGCCTCCTGGCCTCAGCCACAGCAGCAGCAATGTCGGCCTTCACAATCTCAATTGACCGCCACACCCCACTAGTCCTTGCGCTGCATTCGTCGCTCATCAAAGTGCTACCGTCACTGCTTCTCACATTGGTTCTCACCCTTCTACACCGCGCACAACTCGCCCCGTTCTCCACTCCCAACCTCTCGCCTGCATTATCCCACAGTTGCACTCCCTCCCCTCCTCTTCCTCCCACCACTCCTTCCATCCCATCTCGTCTCTCCTCCCCTGCTACCTCTTCCCCGCTGCCTGTCTCTTCCAACCCATGCCCATAGTCTCTCCATTCCACCCTTATCTTCTCACTTCCCACCTCCTGCCCAGCCTCACCCCTTTGCTTCCCTCCGTCCAACCTATGCTCCTCCTCCTCACCTCCCACCCTATGCTCCTCTTCTTCCCCTCCCACCTGATGCTCCTCCTCCTCCCCTCCCATTGTATGCTCCTCCTCCTCCCTTCCAATACTATGCTTCTCCTCCTCCCCTCCAACCCTATCCTCCTCTTCCTCCGCTCCAATCCTATGCTCCTCCTCCCCATCAATCCTACACTCCTCCTCCTCCTCCCCACCAATAAGACAATCCTCCTCCTCCCCACCAATCCTATGCTCCTCCTCCTCCCCTCCAATTCTACACTCCTCTCCTCCAAGCCCATACCCTTCCTCCTCCGCTCCCATCCCATACCCTTCCTCCTCCGCTCCCATCCCATGCCCCTCCTCCCCAAGTCCCTCTCCTCGTAACTCCTCTTCTCTCCCTCCCACTCCGTCTTCCCCTCTTACCTCCCCTGCAACAGCCTCCAAATCCCTCATAGACAAAACACCTCTCACAGGCTCGGAAACAACCGGACCTGCAGTTTCGGGCCAAGCCATCCAGAGCCACAGACGTGACGCGCTCAGAATGCAGGGCGCTGTTCCCCGCCCATTCTTTCACACTCCGCTTGTTCGCAGCCCAGAATAAAAGAATCTCCCTCACCTGCTGCCTGACGCCTACGTCACCTACCCCGCTGCCCCACCCCTTCCCGCTGCACTCCATCCTATGCCCCTCTCCTGCCTCCTCCTCGCCAACCCCCTTCCCATAAGCACTCCCTCCCCCCCCTTCCTCCTGCCTCACGTCCCCTCTCCCTGCAATGCCATCACTCCTTCCCTCCCCACCTCCTTCCTCCATAGAACGCCCCTTCGACTCTTCACCAGTACAGCCGTCCACCCTTCGCCTCTTCCGCATCTGCTTGCCTTCCCTCCCCTTCCTTGGCTCCTCCTCCTCGTCTCCGTGCTCCTCGTCCCTCTTCCACCCCCCCTCCCTCCCACCAGCACGCCTCTTCACTCCTCTCCTCGCCTCCCACTGCATCTCCTCCCCTTCTCCACAGACCCCTTCGCCTACCTCCACCCCTACGCCTCTCACCTCTCCCCCAATCTCCTCTCGCTCTTCTCTCCTCTCGTTCCCCATCGTCCTCCCCACTCCACCAGCGAATCCCCTCACCGAACCCCCCAGACCCCTCCCAGCACCATGCCTGTGGCCCTGCAGCACACGCTGCTCTTCAGACTCTCGAGTCCAGTCAAAGCCCCTCACTGCCCCGTGCCACGCGCTTTCCAGCAGCCGCTGCTCCTCAGTTGCAGGGCAGTAGAGGCGCAGCACGGTGAGAGGTGGTATGCTGCAGGCTTGCTGCTGTGGAGAGGGGCTGGGAGCGGTGGAGGTGTTTCGGTGGAAGAGCAGGGAGGCGAGCAGGTGCTGCAAGGCATGGCAGGGGCGAGGGGAGTGGGGGGGAGAAGAAGGGCCCGGGGGGGGAGGAGGGGGGAAGGGAGAGGGGAGAAAAAGGGCGAGGATGAGGTGGAGAGTTGAGGCGTTATGACTTCGTTTGATGCTGTCAGTCATGGTGATCTGAACATCAAATGGGGGGGGGATGACATGATGGACCACGACCTACCAGCCATGAGCAACGGGCGAACACCGAACGTGTTCGCCCGAACACTCACGAACACTGTAAATGGGCGAACCGAACATGTTCGGTTCGCTCGAACACTTTTTGGGGAAAAAAGGTGTTCGGTGTTCGCCCACCGTGGGCGAACACTTTATCCGTGGGCGAACACTTTACCCAGGGGCGAACACTTTACCCGTGGGCAAACATGTCACATGTTCGGGTTTGCCCACAGCCTCTGCACTGCACTACAGGCCTGGGAAATCTGCGTGTATATGCCACATACTATGTGGCAGGGATAGCGAGGGATAATTTTGAAAAGGGGTCTACTAAACTAAACCAGTGATGAAACTAGAAGTTTGCACCTACTTAACCGTGGCGTTTTTTAACTTAAGGCGAAACCTGCTGGTACAACCCTAAAAAACGGACTTAACACCGCATGTTTGCCTAACTAATGGTTGATGGTGGCGATTTAGTTTAGGAAGGTAGTATGGGTGGCACCTAGACTAGGTTAACCTCTGAAAAGTAAATCAAGCTGTGAAACAGCTTGATCTAGTTTTCCCGTCCCTTTCGTACCCAACCAGCGCGAGCGACAAATGTCGCGCTGGAATTTTCCCGAACATCAGATGTTCGAGCGAACATGTGATATGCCCGAACATGTTCGATGTTCGGGCATATCACATGTGCACGCAGCGAACGCCCGAACATGTTCGGGCCGAACACTTAAACCCAAAATGTTCGGGGGCGAACCGAACCCGCGTTCGCCACTTTGCTCATGGCTACGACCTACTCACTGACCTGCATTCACACTCGCTCCTGTCAGATTACCATCCTCATTGTAACCTACATAAATCCATAAGCTTGGGAAGAGAGAGAGCAACAACCCCTGAATCAGCCACCGCGGGAAGCAAGTCCCTTCCCAAGCTTATGGATTTCTGTAGGTTAAGGGGTTGTGTCGGATTACCATCCCCATTGTAACCTACATCAATCCTATAAGCTTAGGTTAGAGATAGCCACCCAAACTTAGTTTGGGTGTAGAACTACTAGGGCTAACCCTAGTTGGGGGTTGGAACTCAAACCTTGGCCCCCAAGGTTGGGTTGGGAATTATTGGTCCCCCCAATAATGTTGAACCACTTGGTCAACATTATTGGTCCCCCCAATAATCCCTCAACCCAACTTATTGGTGGGGGCCAATAATGTTGGCTTGATTCCAACCAACCCCCCCCCTCCTTAGCACTACTATGTATACCCCCATCTCTCCTAATGAAATCAATGGTTCTTCCTCACGTTTTCTCACAGCTCCCACACCCACTGTCACCACACCCACACCACAGTCACCACACCCCCAGTCACCATACCCACAGTCACCACACCCACAGTCACCACCCCCACATCCGCTCCCACAACCACTAACCTGAGTGGTCAAGGAAGGAGTTGCCGAGTCATCCACCAGAATAACCACGTCTATGGAATCCAGACCCACGGCCATAGACACCACTGCAGCTGGTGCCAACACCACAAACGGACGCTCCCTGCATGCCCCTGCTTCCTGCTGCCCTCCCTGCTGCCCTCCCTGCTGTGCCTGTTCCTCCTCTTCCTCCTCCCTCTCCTGCCCATCTTTCTCCACTCCACCACCACGGTCCCCTTGCTCCCACCCTCCCTCCACTCGCGCCTGCCATTGCTCTTCCATCCCTGCCTCCTCACCTCTCTCCTGCTCTTTCCCCTCACCCACCCCCTCCTCAACCTCTTCCGCAGCCTCCTCCTCCCCCTCTCTCGTGTGCTGCACCTGCAACATACTCCCCCCCGCGAACCCCCCATCCACCTGCTCCTCTTTCACTCTTCTCAGCGCCTCGCCACTCCCCTCCCCTCTCACTCGCCCCTTCCCCGATTCACCACCCCCCTCCACTGACTCACCACCCCCCTCCACCGACTCACCATCCCCCTCCACCTCACACGCCATCCAAACCGGCATTTGTACCACCGAGTAATCCTCCTCCTCCTCTTCCTCCCCTGCCTCCCCCTCCACCTTTTCTTCCTTCACCCTTTTCACCTCCACCCCCACCTCCTCCTCCACCTCCTCCACCTTCACCCTCACTCCCATCTCTCTCTCCTCTCCTCCTTCATGATCCCCCTCCCCACTCTCCTCGCCTTCGCACTCTCGTTCCTTCACCATATAACCCCCCCTGCCCCTGCTGCCCCTGCCATGCTGTGTACCCCTGCCGTACTGCCTATTTTTGGTTTGCCGCCTCCCCCTACCACAACCCACCTCACCTGCGCCACTCTCAAATCGCCTCCCTTCCTCACCTCTTCCCCCACTCCTGTCCCTTCCCCTGCGCCTATCCCTGTCCCCGCGCCTATCCCTCCCTGTTCCAGCATTTCTCCCCCGAACCACCACCCTACCACCAGGCAGCCTAATCCTCACCGCCCTTCTGCCATTCCTTCTCCCCCCACCACCGCTTCCTCCACCCTCTCTCCCAACTCGCCGCTCCTCTGCCCGTCGTCTCCCTGCCCTCACGGCCCCCCTCTGACTCCTGCTGCCAGCCCTCGCTGCTCCCCCACCAAATGCTCTCCCAACCACTCCTCCTCTCCCACCATCTCCTCCCCCACCCACTCCTCCCCCCCCACCTCCTCTCACGCCACCTCCTGCCCCCCGACCCCCTCTCCCACCACGCACGCCCCTTGCTCTGCCAAACAGCACCTCCCCTGGTCCTCCCCCCACCACACTCCGCCCCTGCTCGTCCGGAGCCCCTCTCACCACCCGAGCGAGCATCTGGGTGCAGGCAGCAGGGGAGTCGGACGAGTGCAGGCGGAGGAACGCACTCCCACTGCTGCCCCACTGCTGAGCGAGCATGCTGGCTAGCGCCTCCCTCACTTGCGCACTCTGCAGGGTAGGATTGCACGACAGTTGGAAGAGAACGCGCAGGAAAGTCAGTTGGGTTGACGCTGACTGGATACCACGAGAATTGGTTGGGGACGAGCAAAGCAGGGGAGGGTTGAGTTCTAGTAGGTTGCGGGCTTTTCTGCAAGACAACACATGCAGAGACCACCGGTAACCAACAGGAGTAGGAAAAACACGATTGATATTGAGAAGGTGTGAGAGCTCTCAGGGTGGTTTGGAAACACATGTTGATTTTCAGTGCAAACGTCAAGGATGCACTCACATGGGCCAGCAGCAGAACGGTCTTCCCTTTTCGTTGGAGACATGCCAGCATGGTACTCAGAAGCCGCAGCTTCCCACTGCTCTGCGTGCCATCTGCGCTGGTAGGCCTTCCCTCCTCTGCTGCTGCTGCTGCTCCTGCTGCTGCAGTATCACCGGCAGAAGCAGGCATAGGAGCAGGAGAAGGAGTGGCAGCAGCAGGTTCAACAGCAGCAGCAGCAGCAGCCGCAGCAGCAGTGGCATTTCCAGCAGGGGTAGCAGAAGCGGCAGGAGGAGCAGGGGGCCTGGGAGCGCTAACAGTCGGGTGGCCAGGGCATGGAGCAGGTGAGAGAAGCTGTGGGTGGTGGCAGCACTGCAGCAGTCTCCTCTGTAGAGCAGTGAAGGCTGGTGCAGGCAGTGCAGCAGCCCCGGCTTGGGCTCGCACTCTCCCTGCTCGCTTCAGCTCTCGCATCGTCGCCCTGCGTTGAAGTGATGGGGCGTGAGTGAGGCTGGTGGAATAAATACTACTACTACTACTACTACTACTACTACTACTACTACTACTACTACTACTACTACTACTACTACCACTACCACTACCACTACCACTACCACTACCACTACCACTACCACTACCACTACCACTACCACTACCACTACCACTACCACTACCACTACCACTACCACTACCACTACCACTACCACTACCACTACCACTACCACTACCACTACCACTACCACTACCACTACCACTACCACTACCACTACCACTACACTACCACTACCACTACCACTACCACTACCACTACCACTACCACTACCACTACCACTACCACTACCACTACCACTACCACTACCACTACCACTACCACTACCACTACCACTACCACTACCACTACCACTACTACTACTACTACTACTACTACTACTACTACTACTACTACTACTACTACTACTACTACTACTACTACTACTACTACTACTACTACTACTACTACTACTACTACTACTACTAACAATAATAGTAATAATAATAATAATACAACAACAACCAAAGAAAGAAAGAAAGAAAGAAAACTTTAAACAAGGAGGATTACCTGTAGAGCACGCGCTGGTGGGGAGTGAGACTGGCAGGCCACCAGATCTCCCTCACCATCCTCCCCCTCACTGCCCACGTCCTTCTTAAAGCCCACTCCCTCCCCTCTCGCTCTGCTCCCCAAGCCGCCACAAATGACCCACCAACCCCCTCACCACCCTCCATCCCTTCCCCCCACTCCCTCCTCCTGTCCACTTGCTCCCCCGTTTCCAACCCATCCCTCCTGTCAACCCATTCCCTTCCTTCCGCCCCCTCCTCTTCCCACTCTCTCCCTGCGCCAGCATCACCACGCTCCCTCTCATCCCCACCTCGCCCCAGGTTCAACCCCACATCCAGCACATGCCACTGCCTGCCACCATTACCACTGCCCCATCCCTCCTTCCTCCCATCCGTCGCCTCCACCTCCTCCACCCCCCTTCCCGACCACATGGCTGCTGCAGCCCACACCGCTGCAGCAGCAACAGCTGCACGCCCCGCTGCTGCTGCAACTGCTGCGGCTTCCCCTCCTCCTCTGCCTGCTGCTGCCCTTGCTGCTGCAGCCTGATTATCATCATCATCCTCATCATCGTCATCATCATCAGTATCATTTCCGCCCCCCACTGCCCTTGCTTCCTCCACTGCTGCCTCTGCGGCCACAACAGCAGCAGCAGCAACAGAGAGTCGCTCCCATGCCCGCGCTGCACTCCCATGCCTCTGCTGCTCACTCTGCTGTTCACTCTGCCGGCCACCCTCCTCCTGAATCCGCTGCTCTGAGCCTCTGGAAGAAGCACACACGAGCAGGCGTGCATGTAGAGCGAGGGGCGGAGGGGCACATGGTGGCTGGTGACACGGCGCCACCTCAGCATGCTGCGAATTGGCCTGGAAACAACTAATCATGGACTGCCACGTGTCAAAATTTAGGTGGACTCCGGGTGGCGGGGTTTCCACGAGCACAGCTTCCCAATGCACCTGGGAGAGCCGACCTGCCTCCTGCACATCCGGGCCGCACACAGTTAAAATCCAACGGCTCAGAGTGAGTCGTCACGTTTCAGGCTTTAAGTGAAAGCGTCTCAAGGGAGAATCAACTTTCATAAACAGACTGAGATTTAAGTTGGAACGGACGGGCTAGCAGACACGGCAAGGGCAGGCAGGGTGGAGGAGGGGGAGAACAGGTTGGGGGGGAGGGGGGGGGAAGCAGCAGGGCATGTTCGAGTGGACTCATGAATCACCTCGCCTGCAGCGGGGAGCAGCTTACATGCACGAATATCGCTGCTGTGGTGACAACCACTTGCGGCTGGACCACGATGCCTGACTCCGCTGGTGCCCCTGGCGTGTCAGCAGCACCACTGCCAGGCTGAGCACGGGCACTCGCACTGGCAGCAGCGCCAGCAGCAGCGCATGCAGCGGCACTGTCAGCAGGCAGCATCTCCCTGTCCCATATGGCCTCCAGCTCCGCCTCTGACCCCCCCACATACTTCAACACATGAATCTCCCCTCCCTCCCCCACCACCACCCCTCCCACTGCTGCTTCCGCCACTGCTGCTGCTGTTGCTGCTGCCCCTCCTCCTGCAGCAGCTGTTCGTGCAGCAGCTGCTGTTGCTGCAGCTGGTGGCGGTGCAGCAAGGCCGGGGCAGGGGGAGCGGAGATTGGAGCACCAGCGGGCGGCGTGGCAGGGAGAGGGGGAGATGATGAGGATGGGGCGCACGCACTTGAACTGAGTGATGAGGGTGCGGCAGAGCGCCACGAGCACACGGGAGCTGCCCTGCCCAGGGGGGCGATATGAGGGGCGGTGGGGTGAGATGAGGAGAGGTGAAAGGGTGTTTTTGAGGTGGCTCCAGGCAATTGAACCAGGTGAGTGAGGCATGAGTACGGTGGAGTAAGGAGAAGCAGGGAGATACTCATGCTCATGCTCATGTGCTATGCTTACTCACCATGCCAGGGTCCATGCACAGCAGTGCACGCCTTCCCACCTCATCGTCCACCCCTCTATCTCCCTCTAACCCCTCCGCCTCCGCTCCCGCCCCGGCATCACCACCTGCAGGCCAGGCGCCAGCAGCTCGCACGTCACAGCCCAGCCCGCGCCTGCTCTCCCCCACGGACTCCCACACAGCGTTCAACGCGCGGTCAAGTGCGGCCCCATCGCACTGCCATAGGGCTCTCAGCCAATCCAGGGCCGCCACCTGGAACCACGTGAGGTGCACAGACTCTACGTGCCGGCCGTGGTTCAGAAGGTGAATGGGTGCACTGGCGTGTGGATGGTGATGCTGTGATAATGCGAATGGAGCAGCGCGTCTGGCTCTTGCCTGCGAGGAACATGAGTGATGTTGCGATCGGGGGGGTGATGATAGCAGCGAGCAGGCACATAGGGAGGATGTGAGCAGAGGGAGGCTCATGGAAGGACTTGCTGACAGCACAGCACAGCACAGCACAGCACAGCACAGCACAGCACAGCACAGGACAGGCACGTGCATGTAATCAAGGTTCTACAGCGATATGCATCACTGCAATGCAACGGACTGCACCGCACTGCATTCCCATGTATCTCCAGTCACACCCCCACTCCCTCCCATGCCCCGCCTGCAAACACAAAGTGCCATGCGAGGAAAAAAATCCGCAGAATAACCCAACACCTAGGTAGGAACACACACACATACGTACCTCCAGCCTGGCCTGTTCTGTGGCTCTGCGCTCACACCCCTCCCTCTCCCTCTCGTGCGTCGCCTGCAGCACCATTCCACATGGCGTGGAGAGGAAGGGCATGTTGCAGGGCTCCCATGTCAGATGCTCGTACCCCACGCCCCTCCACTTCAGCAGCCTGGTGTATCGCACCATGCAATGAGGACGAGAAGAGGAGAAAACATATCAGGTGATACGGGGAAGGAAAAGGGGGTGAGTGTCGCTGCTGCATTGCATCGGCAAGAAAGGATGAAGGACGAGCAACATGCTGAAACAGAAGCCCTCGCCCCTGTCATTTCGTCCATCTCTCTCTCTCACCACTGATACTCGTCTGCCACGCGTCTCAGCCGGCCTTTGCCGCGCCCCTTGCTGCCACCCTTGCCATGCGCCAGCCCCTCCACCTTGAACCGCCCCAGCAGCCGCTCCGGCTCCGCCCACTCGCTGTGGTACACAGGCAGCTGGGAATGGGGAGAGAGGAAGGGTGGGGGAGGTGGGTGTTCCTGAAGGGGAAAGTTTTGAGTTGACTCGAAAATTCCACTTGCTGCGAAACATGGGCAGCTGTGCTGCGCATGGGGAGAGGAAGGTGGTGCGTGTTTGTTTGTTTGTGGGGACATGCATGCAGCACCAAGGAAGGAAGGAAACCGGTTTGCTTGAGGCAAGCCTTGCATACTTCAGTTCAGTTCAGTTCAGGCCAGAGAGTATGCACTCAGAAAAAATCCAAACCTCTGAATTTTCCAGACAGACACACACACACACACACACACACACACACACACACACACACACACCCGAGCTCCAAAATTTAAAAGACTAGCACCATCATCACACAACACACCACACACATACTCACCTCGCCCTCCGCCTTGAGCGTCTCATACGCCGCCAGGTGGCCCGGGAACCGCGAGTGCAGCCACTCGCCATCCACCCACTCGTTGTGCACATGAGGCCGCTTCAACCACTTCACCAGATACTCCCTCCCCCTGCCACGCCCTGCCTCCGCACCCGCCCCACTGGGCCCCACACACGCCCCTGCTACAGCCGCATGAGTCTGTGCCCCTGCATCCCTGACAGAACAGCCAAGAGCTTCCACCCCCCCTCCATGCGCCACATTCAACCCATCCCCACCCATCCCCTCGTCCTGTCTTGCCCCCACCCCACCTTCTTCCAATACCAACCCTTTACCCCCCATTCGCCTGCCTCCATGCCCCTGCGCCAACCTCCCTCCCCTTTTCCCCTTGCTGCCTGCTCTCGCCCCTGCCTTCCCCACTGCTTTCCCCCCCCTCCTCCCTCGCACCTCTCCCTCTCCCCCCACCGCCTTCATTTTCCTCATCTCCTCATCGTGCTGCCAAGCCAGACTCCCCTCGCCCATCCCGCCTCCTCCCATCCTCATCCCCATCCCCATCTCCCCACCGCCCCCCTCCCCCTTCTCCCGGTCCAGCCACACAGATTCCACAACCACCTCGCCTAGAGCAAACCACTTCATCAAATCCTCGCCATTAGACGCCCTGTTACTAGCACCAGAGGCCTTAGAACTCCCACCACGAACTGCTGTAAGATTGCCACCTCCTCCCCCCGCCTTGCCAGCACCGCCACTGCGGCTGCTATGAGCAGGAGGAGCAGCAGCAGCTGCAGCAGCAGCGGAGGCACCCACACCGTTCGCTTCATTAACCCCCCTGGCCGCATCCCAATCCTCGTCCTCCAAACTCGCCACACCACCCCCACCACCGAAATCTCCAGCCAACCCTTCCCTTCCAGGAGTATAAGCACAGCCAGTAGGGGTTGTAGTGGAGAGGGGGGGATAGGGGAAGGGGCGGCGGGAGGTGCGGAGGCGTTCGAGGCAGTCAGGGCAGTACCAGGCCCCCTTGGGGGCGTGGGAGAGCTTGGGCTCCGCACACTCCACGTGGCATGCCTTGGAGCACGCAGGCCCGTCACAGCACCTGCAGGGGAGACGGCGAGGCACGGACGAGAAGGGGAAATATGGCGAGGGTAGAGGTGAGGCGAGAGCAGAGCTGAGGCGAGAGCAGAGCAAAGGCGAGGGCAGACAGAGCATTGGCGAGGGCAACGGCGAGGCGAGGGAGGAGGTGAGGCGGGACTGACATGAGGACGCCATGGCCGATGCACTTGAGGCAGTAATCCACGTGAAAATCCTCCTGGACTGTGACTGTAACAGGCTCCTCCTTCTCCACCCCTGGCGCCCAGAAATTGTCACGCCACCACGCCCACGTCACCCTCCGCCACACCTCGTTCGCCCTCCGAACCCGCCTCTCCTCCTCTCCCTCGTCCCCGCTCTCACACTCCTCCTCCACCAGGGCGCCTCCTAACCCGTGCACGGCCGCGTCTGCCCCTCCTTGGCTCCCCATTCCTCTCTCTGGGCATCCTGACCCGCGTTCCGCGTCGTCTGTCCCTCCGAAATTCCCCATTGCCCTCCCCACAGCTGCGGAACACCCCAATGCCTCGCGAGACATGCGCATGGAAAGCGAGTACACGCCATCAACCTCCCCACCAACCTCCCCATCAACCTCCCCACCAACCTCCCCACCAACCTCCCCATCCAAAGCATTAACTCCATCCCTCCTTGCACGGCCTCTGCCAAATGACCTCGTCCCTCCTTCCGTTCGCCGTTGCCTTGTCCCTCGGTCCCGTACAAGACCTCGCTCGTCAACCCTCTGTCTGTCAACCCTCCGTCCTCCTACCCTCTGTCTGTCAACCCTCCGTCCTCCTACCCTCTGTCCGTCAACCCTCCGTCCGCCAATCCCCCATCGCCAGGCTTTCAACCAACGCTTCATTCCCGCACAACTCTTCCCCCTCCCCGTCCTACCCCTCTCCCTCCCTCGCTCCATCCTCGCTCCACGGCTCGTGCCTGTCTCACTCTCCCTCCTCCTCTCCCTCGTCCTCTCCCTCCCTTGATCCATCCTCGCTCCACTGCTCGTGCTTGTCTCATCCTCTCTTCGCCGCTTCCTTACGGTTTCGCGAACCGACTCCCCAGCCGGCTCACTATCCACGTTGCCCGCGCCGTCCAGTCGACCAGCGGATTCCGCATGCGAATCCTCGCGAGTAGCAGTCGCATGGAACGCAGGCGGAGAATCAAATCCCGAGAGACGGGCCTCGCTAGGAGCACGAAATCTGCTAGGTTCAGCGTGGCGTGCTAATAGCGGTGGGTCGTCCTCTGATGAAGCTCGGTCGTCGAGGTGGCAATCGGTTGCTGACAAATTTCGCCCGCTTGCGAAATCGTCGACTTGTAACGTATTTCGTTCAGCTACGCCGCCGACTCCCTGCGATTCAAATAAGCGTTCACATTTGACCGCCTGATCCGACGGCCTCGCACTGAACGCCGCAGACCCGTGAGGACCTGCGGATTGAAAGGCGTGCGACGGATTCGCATCAAATCTGTCGCCAACATCGTCGATGCGATCGTCCATGCCGTCGTTAATGTCGTCGCCAATGTCGTCAATGTCGTCATCGTCGTCTATAATGATGGGGTCCTCCTCTCTTGCGCCGCTAGCCACGATGCTACCGTCCTCCATCGCTCCTCACCGCCTCACCCGCGACTACTTGAAAGAAATAAAGAATGAGCTTGCTTGACGTCTCGTCTCGGATTTCTTCAACCTCAACCAAGAAGACTACACACGAAACGCACCGTACCGCACCGCGCCGCACATTCAAGCTCCGTCACTGACCTGGAACGTCGGTCGGTCGACACTCACGGTTCCGCTCAGATCTGACACCTATTACCCGAGAACATCGGCGATAGGTGAAGCATCACTAAGTGCATGGAACTGCAAGTAACGACGGAAAGAGCGTTTATAATCTGACTCGTCAAGCTGACTAGACTCGCGCACGGGGACGAGAAGCGGGTCGAGGTTAGGAGATAGTACGAGCTCGACAGTTGAGTACCGCAGGCATGCTTGCCTGACAACTAACAGGAATGAGTTATCTGAAGATGGATATCTAAGAAACCAGAGATAAGCTCAGAAAGTCTCTACTCTCGGCTCCGCAATAGCTGAATATTGATCGAAAACATCGCATGTTTTCGAAGCAAAGTCATGAATCACGTTAAGACTCGTTACGACACGGCTAGCGCGGCGGATGTGTAGTCGCTCGTCACAGCTCCCTAGGCACCACCTTGACTCGAACACTCACGTGCAACAATCTAGGAGGTGAAAGGTGCTTTTGCCATGCCAACTGACCAAGTCCCTTGGGATTCGGGTTCGGGGATTCAGGGATGGCTGTGCCTGGCGTCAGACTCAAGCACTTGGCGCGGTATAAGACGCGGCGGCGAGAGAGGATGTTCGGTTTGTACACGAGCAGATGCAAATCGTTTGTGCTAAGCATTCGATCAAGCAATTTTTTATAAACGCATAGAGAATAGTGACCATGAATTGGTAGGGAGGAGGTTGGCATGATTCTAAATGGGCAACATTCACTATACAGGATTTTTCCTAAGAAGAATATCTGGCATACGAGCACAAAGCTGAAGGATACAGGTATTAACGTCTCGCCATCCCTCATGCATCAACCATAGCCTCCACCTCCTCCTTGCTCTCCTCCTTCAAAGGGTAGTACTTGTAGTGTAGCTCTGTTACATCGTCACCCGACACCTTCGTCCAGCCTTCGGGACCCACATGGTACACTGTTATTAGAATAAGATACAATACACACAGGAGCATATGAGCAATCAGTGGCATGGGGAGAGGGAAGAGAGAGGGTGGGCGGACGGTGAGGGTGAGGGAATTTCGGCTAAAGTGCAGGAAAAGTAGAACCCACACAGCCACCACTTCCTGCAATGCATCCCTAATGTAGAAAACAACGCCCACAAGAGGCAACGCCTGTAACAGCAAAGTGTTCTCCCTCAGTGAGCACGTGCCTGATGCGGTGCCACCACTAGCAGAGTCACGAAAGGTGGCATGGTAGATGGACCTTCGCCCCAGCTCCTCCGCCTCCTCCACTGACATGTCCCACCGGTACCTGCCATGCCATGTGCCATGCCATGCCATGCCATGCCATGCCATGCCACAGATCCCCATGTTCACGTGCCACGCCATGACGAGGCACGACCGACACACAAATCCAGATTCCCACGTAGTAAGTCAAGCATAGAACCAATTTCCATGGCATGACCTTCCTTCCAAGGCCCTACTCTCCTTCCCACCCCCACCTCCCACCCGTGCTCCTCCACACTCTTCATTCATATCCTCTCTTTCTTCCTTAACACCCCTTCTTCCCTCCCCCCTCCCCCCCTTCCCGCCTCACCCTGCGTCCAGCACGCCATAGGCATAAGTGGAGCCAGACCCCACTGAGAATCGCCGGCCCTCGTAGCGCGACCCCTCACTGTCCACGTAGAACAGCTTTGGGCCCTGGCAGCAGAGCACAGCACAGAAGCACAGCAACAGAACAGTGTGGCAGCATGTCAGCACAGAGCATGGTGCATGGCAGCATGGTAGCACAGAGATATTGTTAGAAATTAGCACTCCGGCAAAAGAAACGAAGCACAAAACGCACGTTTGCTGAGCAACTAGGCCATCAACTCACCAGGTTTGACGTTGTTTCCTGTTACTTAACATACGACCTGATAATCGCTTCATGCCAGCCGTCAATCCCACTGACGATCTCATCCAAGCCATTGATCCCACTGACTGCCTCATCCAAGCCGTTAACCTTACCGACCGTCTCATCCCAGCCGTCAGTCGCACTGACCGCCTCATAGCAGCCGTCGATTCCACCAAACTCTCATCCCAGCTGAAGATCCCACTGACCGTTTCATCCCAGCCGTTGATCTCACCGTCTCATCCCAGCCGGCCACCATGGTACCGATGGAGAGCCCCATGCCGCGGTACGAGAAGAGTGTGTTGGCCAGCAGCTTTCAACACAATCTAGATCCCACTAACCCTCCCGTCCCATCTCAGCCGTCGATCTCACTTAATCGTTTCATCCCAGCTGTTGATCTCACCGTCTCATCCCAGCCGGCCACCATGGTACCGATGGAGAGCCCCATGCCACGGTATGAGAAGAGCGTGTTGGCCAGCAGCTTCGACGCCCCCGCCACACTGATGCGCCTCCCGTTCTCCAACTCGTGCAGCCGGCACTGCCTCCGTTGCGGACACAGGCCCACAGGGTAAAACAACGAGGGTGGGGATGGGTGGGGACGGATTGGTGCGCACCAGTTGTGGACGGCTAGACTAGGAGGGGAACCAAACAATGCACTCCACTGTGTGCACAATCCGTATGAGAAAAGCTTAGGTTCCACCTGCAACAAGCCTTCTAGGAGTAGATCTAACCCACTGAATCCCCTGTATCTGCCTATCCCAGCAGCACCCTCGCACCTGTTTGCCCAGGTTGCGCTGCCAGAACTGGCAGTCCGCTGCGCCGCCCGCCATGGTGCCGAGGAGGTACTTGTTGATCTCAATCACCTTCTTCACCGTCTGTGATGCTGCTCGCAGGGAGGAGGTAAACATGGTAGAACGGAAATGTGGGGATGTGAGAAGAGGCAAAGATAGAGAGGCAACACAGTTTCGAGCAAGTACTTGTTGATCTCGATCACCTTCTTCACCGTCTGTGAGGCTGGTAGCAAGAGGAGGCACGCACGGGGAGAGAAGGGGCGTGGAGTGGAGTGGGGTGAGTGGAGGGAGGTAAGACACACATGGTGCCCAGCAGGTACTTGATGCAGGTAAGACACACATGGTGCCCAGCAGGTACTTGATGCAGGTAAGTCACACATGGTGCCCAGCAGGTACTTGATGCAGGTAAGACACACATGGTGCCCAGCAGGTACTTGATGCAGGTAAGACATGATCTCGATCACCTTCTTCACCGTCTGTGATGCTGCTCGCAGGGAGGAGGCAAGGGCAGAGAGAGAAGGGGTGTGGAGACGTGGGAAAAGGCGAGGTTCGGAGGCGTCACAATCTCGAGCAAGTATGAGTTGATGAGTCACCTTCTTACCGTCTGGGATGCTGCACGGGGCGAGGAGGCAAGCACGGGGAGGGAAGCAAAGACGGCGGAGGAATATCCAGGCGGCTCAAACAGTCGGAATGAAGGAAATGGCGCAGAGGGGCAGGCAGAAGAGAGGCATACGACGGGTGGCCCGATCCCCAATATAAGCGCGCACCAATATAAGTGCCCATGGTGGCGCGCGAGTCGACGGCGATGATGACGCCGTGTTGGAAGACGAACCCGAGCGTGGTGGTGCCGTGCTGCGGCTTCACCATCTCCATCGCCGCGTTTTGGAACCCGTCCAGCTGTAGTAGAAAGGAGCGCGCAGGGAGCGGGAAGAGCGGGGAGGGAGCAGAGGTGAGGAAACGCGAGGATAGGGGGATGAGAAAATGGTGTTAAGAGATTTGATGAAACAGTCCTGTAATTTCTTGCAGCCTTCGAAGTGCCGGTACCCCTTACGAAGCGAATCAGTATTCTGTGTTCTCCCAACCGTATCAACTACTCGTTCTCAACAAGACGAGCGGCGTGAGGAATCGAATCGGCTCACATCCTTCACGGCAGGCAGCGGGAACGATGGCGCGGCGAATCCGATATCTGCATCGTCGAAACGGCCGGGCTGAAGCGACGGCGGATCCACGAGGCTCATGTCGATCCGCATGCTGGCGAGCGGAAATTCGACGGAAGCGCTAGATGATCGCTGGTAGTGGAAGGTAATTAGGACACTACAACACAACGACAACGCAAAGGACTTAGATTGGAATGGGGAAAACTACCGAATGAATGCACTTGGAATGAGGGAACAAGTCGAATGGCATCTGCGTTGCAGAGTGTCGCGCGATTTCCTTAGCTAACACGAATTGTTCAATGTTGTCGGATTCTTGTACGTGTACATTCTCCGTACGTGTAGCGAACTGCATTGTTTGCTGGGAAAATATGCCGTTCGTAACCATCATGGGACCCGAAAACAATTTTGGGTACGGTCACTGCAAAGGGTGTTTTCACGCGACTGATAAAGGGTTTCACGGAATCAGTCACAATCAGCTGGTAAAAAAAAACGCGAATGGTCACAGATGAAACTCCCGCCAAAACAAAATGAAACCCAGAAAGAACCTGGATGCATTTTCGGATGATCAACCCTAAACACATGACTCGCCAGGTGTTTAGGGTTGATCCGTTCCCAAACCGCATCCGATTCCGATTGGGTTTTAGTTTTTTCACAAGTTCGCAGATTGGTTGGGCGCGAGCGGGAATTTTGTTGAGTTTCAAGTTTTTTTTTGCGGGAGTTACATGTGTGACCATTCGCGTGATTTTGTACCTGTTGTTAGTGACTGAATCCGTGACCCCGCTTACCAAACCCGTCAGAAAACCCGATACAGTGTCCGTTCGGGTTTTTTTTTTGGGTTGCGTAGCAACCTTATACATTCGTTTTCACTTTTCGGTTGGCTGATGTGAACAGTGAATTTTTTTTATAAATTTTGAAAGAAATCACTGTTCACATAGCTTCCCCAAAAAAATGAAAACAAATGTTTCCAAACATTCCATAATCGTCGATAAGTACGGCGAATGGAACAATTGGAGAATCGTTTTAGCACTAAAGATGATACGGTACCCAATGACACACGAACACAAAGGACAACACAAAAAATACAACAGTACCACCGAGAGACAGACATACACAAATGACCACAAAAACGATGGTGTACAAGAACCGTCTTACATGTTTTGAAGGGAATACTAAATGCATCTATGCAACAACTGAGACTGATATGGTACGGAAGAGGTGAGCAAAGCTGCCCCACCGACGATCACAATCCCAGTTGCATACACGAGACACTTAGCACCACACCCCCAAAACAAGCACAGACGATAACACATAAATGAATACTAAAACACAAGACAATGTTTAAGAAAGTTTCAAAGCGAATGCTAAATGCATCACTGCTGCAACTGAGATTGATATGGTACGGAAGAGGCTAGCAAAGCTGCCCCACCGACGATCACAATCCGAGTTGCATTCAGGAGGCACTTAGCACCACACTCTGAAGCACGCACAACACACATATGCACATGTACGCACTCACACACATACAGGCTCACACATATACAGAGACACACAACGCAAAAACATACAGCTAGACACACAACGCAAAAACATACAGCTACTGTAATAAGCATGCAAGCATAATGAATTAATTTCAGCCTTGTATAAATTATCACTATCCTGTCCCCCGTTCCCCTCCCTCCCTCCCTCCCTCCCTCCCTCCCTCCCTCCCTCCCTCCCTCCCTCCCTCATTTCCCTCATCTCCCTTCTCCCCATCCCTTTTCTCCGCAAGAAACAAAGGCTGCAGCTTGAACTCCCTGCACAGGAAAGAAAAATCAGGGAATGCAACTCACTCCCTGCACAAACAAGAACAAAATCAGAGAATACAACTTGCATTAATAGCACAATAAAACAAAATCAGAGAATTCAGCTTCCTTGATGCACTAAAAAACAAAGTAAGCGCAACAGAAATTCACGCGCAAACTCCCACGTTCTCTCACGCGCTCCCTCATGCGCAAACTCGCGCGCTCTATCGCGCGCACTCTCCCACGCGCTCTTTTGCACACACTCTTGCGCGCTCTCTCTTGCGCACTCTCACGCGCTCACTTGTGCACTCTCTCGCGCACTCTCTCGCGCACTCTCTCACACACTCTCACGCGCTCCCTCACGCGCTCTCTCACGCGCTCCCTCACGCACTCTCTCACGCAATCTCTCATTCGCACTCTCACGCGCACTCTCACTCACGCGCTCCCTCGCACGCTCTCTCAGGCGCGCTCGCTCTCACGGGCTCTAACACGCACTGTCACGCGCTCTCTCATGCGCTCTTTCACGAGGAGAGCAAAAAACAAACAAACAAAAGAAGAAGAAGAAGAAAGTTTTTTCAGAAGGAGGAGGGAGGATGAAAGAACCGGGAACGCACCAGATAACCACGGTAACTCAGAAAACAACCCGGGCTCGCGCACCAATCCGCGCTCGCGCACCAACTCACGCTTGCGCTCGTGCACCTGTCGCCGGAGGCGACGGCGGGGAGGAGGAAGAGGCGACGGCGGGGAGGAGGGAGAGGCGACGGCGGGGAGGAGGGAGCGGCGACGGCGGGGAGGAGGGAGAGGCAACCGCGTGGAGGGAGAGGGGACGGCGGGGAGGAGGGAGAGGCGATGGCGGGGAGGAAGGAGCGGCGCGGCGGGGAGGATGGAGCGGCGACGGCGGGGAGGAGGGAGAGGCGACGGCGGGGAGGAGGGAGAGGCGACGACGGGGAGGAGGGAGAGGCGACGGCAGGGAGGAGGGAGAGGCGACGGCGGGGAGGAGGGAGAGGCGACGACGGGGAGGAGGGAGAGGCGACGGCGGGAAGGAGGGAGAGGCGACGGCGGGGAGGAGGGAGAGGCGACGGCGAGGAGGAGGGAGAGGCGACGGCGGGGAGGAGGGAGAGGCGACGGCGGGGAGGAGGGAGAGGCGACGGCGGGAGAGGCGATGACGGGGAGGAGGGAGAGGCGACGGCGGGAAGGAGGGAGAGGCGACGGCGGGGAGGAGGGAGAGGCGACGGCGGGGAGGATGGAGAGGCGACGGCGGGGAGGAGGGAGAGGCGACGGCGGGGAGGAGGGAGAGGCGACGGCGGGGAGGAGGGAGAGGCGACGGCGGGGAGGAGGGAGAGGCGACGGCGGGGAGGAGGGAGAGGCGACGACGGGGAGGAGGGAGATGCGACGACGGGGAGGAGGGAGAGGCGACGACGGGGAGGAGGGAGAGGCGACGACGGGGAGGAGGGAGAGGCGACGATGGGGAGGAGGGAGAGGCGACGACGGGGAGGAGGGAGAGGCGACGACGGGGAAGTAAGGAAGAGGAGATCGCGGTGTGGGACTGAGTGACTGAGAGGTGAATAGGAGAGGTGAAGGCGGGTAGTGAGGGAGAGGATACGGCGGGGTGGGAGCGAGAGCGACGGCTGGGTGGGAGAACTGGCGAGAAATTGGGGTGGGGGCAAGGAAGAGGAATAAGAGCAGAGCAGGTGTGCTTGTCGAGTCGAGAGGAACCAGAACAAAAGAACCAAGAAAAGAGCGCAGAAATTGAGTTGACAGCTGTGAAAGGGACGGATGCCAGCGCAGAGATAAAATTTCTGCCAGCGCAGAATGAGAATTTCTGCCAGCGCAGAACAAGACAATTTCTGCCACCGCAGAACGATACAATTTCTGCCAGCGCAGAGCGAAGCACCATATACAGTGTCCTGTTTTAAGTTAAAATGAAGGAACTTAATTAATTGCTTCTTTAAGCAAAATATGATTATATTGTACTCTTTCATAATGTTCCTTATACACGGAATACAGCTCTACGCAACCCTTCCGACGTCAACGTCGAGTCTTGTTACCATTCACGTTATCGAGTCCCAAGTTGGTTACTTGTGGCATACTTTCCCTTGTTTGCTTGGCTAAGAAATGTACTGTATGAGGATTGATATCAGTGTTCTGCTTCTGCTCGTACCCGCTATAAAAATCATCCAGAGGGTGGTGTGCTTCTGGGAAACACCACCTCGCAGTAGTCACAGCACTCAGCACTGCATAAGCCATTCTCGAAACCGAATCGCCCTAGAGTTCCCCCCAACACAGCCCGGCTGCTGCGCCGTCGTGACACCAGAGTGTGCGGAGACGCACGAATCGCGTGACAGGACTGCGCTTGGGGGGACAGGGGCTGGAGGCGGGCGCCCAATTCGTCAGTCGGGGGGAGCCTGTTTGTCAGTGGGAGAGGCGCAGGAATGCGGCTCGTCGGTGGAGGGATTTCTGGCGGAAAGAAATGTCGGAAATGTGTGCCTGTGCTGCCAACATTCGCGTGGGAACATCGGCTTCAAGGTTATTCATGGTGGTGGTGTGGGATGGCATGGCATAGCTCCAACTCCGTAGCTCTCTTCTCAAGGGAGACAAAATCGGCCGAAACGGAAAGTAAATGATTGCGCTTCACGGCTGCATGCCTTGAAGCCATCCGCCAGCGATATATTGCATCGAACTTTTCTGCTTTAACAATCATTCAGGGAACTCGTGTATAGAAAGCGACCTCACATTCTTGACGGACTGTGACCTGGTAAACTAATAGAATAGATTCCCGTTCTAGGTTCGCCATTCTCGTTCTCACACTCCAGCAGCGCAGTCGCTGCAATGGGCGACCCACTTATAAGTCGAGTCCTACAAGCGTGCTGTTTACTGTTCGCCGTCTTTCAAGCAGTCCACGCTGCTCAACGCGATTCACCGCTCTCAACCGACCATGGCGACAACGTGACTCGTCGCATGGCCCTGGTGGGTCGACTACCTCGTTCGGCAGCTCCCCTAGCCGCGCCTCTAGGCTCGGGCTCCTGGTCCGTCAAGGGCAACCAGTTCGTTGACGCGTACGGCCGCGTGGTACGCCCTCCCTGCTTCTTACCTCCTTGCCTCGCTGACTCCTTGCCGTGCCTCTACTAATCTCCTTCCCGCAACCCCCTCCGCGGTTTTCCTTTTTACGTTCTCCTTTATCGCAAATATCCCGTGCATCTTTTCTCAATCTCCTCGCTTTCCTTTTTTTCGGCCTCTGGTTTATCGTTTTCTCGGTTTTCCTCGTTTCCTCCCGTTGTATCCTTCCGTCGCGCCTAATCCATTCCCCCGCGTTTCCTCCTCGCGCAGGTGCGCTTCTCGGGGCTGATGTGGTCGGGATTCGAGTCCGACGTGGCGGTTGTGCAGGGGCTGTGGGCGCGCAGCTACCAGTCGCATCTCGACCAGATGCGCAAGCTCGGATTCAACGCCATCCGCCTGCCCTTCGCGGGAGACGCGCTCGAGCCCAGCTGCTCCCCCAAGAGCATCGACTACGGCAAGAACCCCGATCTGCAGGGACTCAATTCGCTCCAAGTGATGGATAAGATCATTGCGGCGGCGGGCCAGCGAGGCATGAAGATTATCTTGGATTACCACCAACACCACCTGCTGCTGAATCTTCCCACGGAGGGCCTGTGGTATGACCCCACCACGCCCCCGAGGAAGTGGCTGCAGCGATGGATCATGCTCGCGAAACGGTACCGTGGTAACCCGACGGTCATCGGCGCGGATCTGCTGAACGAGCCGCACTTCAATGGGAACACCGCTCCGTTCCCCTCGCCGTACTGGGACGTTGAGGGCAAATACGAGAATCCGCCGCTCAACTTCCGCACCGCCACCAAGATGTGAGTTCCGCCTGATTCCCTCGTCCGTTCCCTCCCTCCTCCGCCATTGGTTTGTCTAGAGATCCTCGTAGAGATCCTCCTATCCAGTTCGTGCATTTTGGGGTTATGATGCTTCCGCGAGCACCGGTCCTTTTGTTTCCTGCGCTCAACACTCTCCCCTTCCGCTCTCACCGTGCGTGTGTGCGCGCGCGTGCAGTGTGGCGGCGGCGATTCAGCGCGTGAATCCGGACTGGATCATCTTCCTGGAGGGCATGCACAACGACTACTGGTGGGGCGGCAACTGCCGCGTGCTCATGAACGCGCCGCTAAAGCTCACCGTGCCCAACAAGCTCGCATACACCGCTCACGAGTACGGCCCCTTCGTCTACTTCCAAAAGTTCTTCAATAAGTCCGTCACGCCTGACTTTCCGAAGAATCTTCCCAAGCTGTACAACCACCACTGGGGTTTCATTCAAAAGAAGGGGTACGCGCCGGTGTGGGTGGGTGAGTTTGGGTCGAAGCTGCCGCCTCCGGATTCGGAGCTGAACCGGGTGGAGCGGACGGTGTTCTTCACGCTCATCAAGTACATGAAGGCGCTCAAGGTGTCGTGGACGTTCGCGTTCTGGGGCCCGCTTAGCAAGGACACTGGGGGGATTCTTAACGACGACTGGTTCACTGTGAGGCAAGACAAGCTAGATGCTCTCAAGCCTATCATGTATCCTAATTTTGCCTAGGGAGGAGCTGAACTGCTGGAGACCACAGATGGGAGCGGGTTCTGCAGTGGCTTCTGGATTGGTGTGCTGATGGTAGTAGTCATTGGACCTAGAGACCACTTCTCAGGCGTTATCCTTCTGTTCCCCTAAGAAGGGCTGATGTTTAGTAATTTACTTGTCCAAATGAGAATCTAACTAAATAATTTGTTGATATGTATTGGGTAATGACTCTACATAACATCTTAGTGGAGAAATGCATAGCATTCTGTAATGAATCGCAGTGTATATCCAGACAGAAGGCTGGCTTGGTCCCTAAATGCATTGAATATGTTTCGTCTTGTGTGTTCCATCAGTTGAATACTGACAACGTTCAGCCTTTGTACAGTTACCTACACTGCAAAATACGATCCCAAGATTCATTCCCGATTTTTTCATGTCCCGAGCAAGAGGCCGTGGGATACCGCTCGCTACTGTCATATAACCAGGGTCCCGCTCAATCACCCAAACAAACCTCCACCACACGCAGACCACACCACACACACCACCACCACAACCACACCACATACCCTCCTCCTGACTCTCGCTCTCCCTCCATTGTGCCTGTGTGAGAGCCATCTCTCACATCCATTTTGTAACAAGCTCGCCACCACATTCTTCTGTTCCCTCCCACCCCCAGCAACCATTTTGTCAGGACGCGGCACATTTGATTGATTGGCCTGAAATCTGAATGTAACACATTATTTATCACACGGTATTGGGATTCATAGCGCGGTGAAGTACGTTACGTTGCGGCCCTCACTGCTCATCCTTCCCTGCAACGCCCGTCTCTCCAGCTGTCAAACACTGTGTGACTGACCTGTGCACAAATTCTCCATTTTTTGTGTGGTGGAGAGAAGAGAAGAGCAACGACAGGGCACTCTCCTGCTCACCCTCACAGAATCCGCTGCTTGTTTTGGAGTTCGGCCCCTCAGGTTCGTTGGGACAATTGCAAGAAGCTCCTAGAGCTGACAGCATGTGCCAGCTTACCCTTCGTGTCATTTTCCGAGGGAAGTAAATATATTTCTACAAGATTTTGCCACATAGGTTGCGTAAGCGCCTCAGCGCTCATCACCATTGCTCGTTCTCCTCTTTGGGCTAGTCGGCAGAAGTTATTACAGCTCCATTCGAACCTCTGTTACTGACTGGAATCCTAGCCCAATTCGTGTCTCTCTCCGGCAATATTTGCACAGCCGGTCCGCTCCCTTTCCGTTCCCGTTGCCATCCTTTTAGCTCTTATTGTCGGCGATGGAGGTTGGCCCTCGAGTTGGAGCCAGGCACATGCCGGCGAGCAAGCCCACGCTGCTCCTGGATCTGCGCCTCACCAACGCGTCGAACGACATGCAACCGACGCGCTGCTACAATTCTTCGTGGCACGACGTCATGTCCTTGGGCGAGGCGACGCGGGGAGGCGACCCGCTGCGCGCGGACGCGGCGGAGAAGAGTGCTGCACCGTACAGCGGGGGTTTGACGTTTGACTCGCCTTACACGAGAGGAGCTCGCGGGGAAAGTCGGCAAGCGTGGCTGGAGATCGAGGAGGAGTGGAACGAGGAAGACGAGGACGAGGAGGGCGAGGATGTGGCGATGCTGGACGTCGACGCGTTTCTCGGGCGGCGGTTGACGCGCGAGCCGAGCTTCAGCATCGAGGACGCGGCTCTGTACGGCCTGCCCGGTGAGCAGCCCCGCGTGCTCGTTGGTCGGGTTTCTGATTTGAATTGTCTGATTATAAGGTGTCATTTTGCGTGTGAATGTACTTTGTTTTCTTGCTCCGCAATTAGACGTTGTTTCTGGCGCGCATCGTCATAACCGCGACTGTTCTCACTAAATAGCTTTTTCCCTCCCCCATTCCCATCCATGCCTTGTGCGCGTGATTCTTCAGAGGAAGTGGCGACTCCGCGTCCCGCGTCAGCGCGATTCACGGCGAGCGACAGCGAAGCAGCGGCGCTGCGGCTCGCGGTGATGGAAGCCGAGGTCAACATTGTCATGGAGACGAACCGCCTCGTGTCCGCCATCAAATGCCAGCTCACCTCCCCCTGCTCCACCATCCCGCCCCGCTCCCCCTCCGCCACGGGTATCACCTCCCCCTCTCCCCCCCGCACCTCCTGGGACTTCCGCTCCTTCTCCTCCCCTGCCTCCACCCCCTCCTCCGCCTCCGCCTCTGCCCACTCCGCCCTCTCCCCCTGGCGCAGGAAAACCCCCTCAGTGTCCCCCACTGCTGGGTGGGCCTCACAGGTACCTGAAGAGGAGCCAGTGTTTGGTTCTCCCATGGCTGATCGCGCCATCTCTCGCTCCCTCACTTCCTATTCGCTTCCTCGGCCCCGCTCGTCGCATATCACCCGCTCCCACACCGCCTCGTGCGACCGCCTGCCTGCGACTTTCGTGCCTCGGAGTGAATCAAACTGCTCGACGAATTCTAGTGTCGATCGGTCACCGTTTGGTGGTGTGGCTGGTGGCGGCTGCGAGCGGAGCGTGTCGCAAACACGCCTGCCGTCGTTTTCGAATGGGACGGGAGCTCCCGTGAGGAAGATGCTGGGGGCGCTGAGGCGGCAAATGAGCTTGCCCAGTGGGAATTGGTTGCAACACAAGACGTCAAGAAGAGAATCTATGGCTAGTCATAAGGATGAGTAGCACTGGAACGTGTTTTTTTGTAACGGCTTGGGGTGTGCAAAGTGAGGCCAGTTGCTATGCAATCCAAAATAAGATGTTGCTTCCCAGTTACGTTCCCAAGAAGATATCTGAGCTCACTCCGAAATGTAAGGCCATTCGGCAAGTGAATCTAACTGTACCGCGTATATCGCCCCCAGCACCCATGGTCTGAACTGGCAGGAGACATTGCTCACTCCAATCTTTGTCTTGTCTTTGGTGAATGTACGCTACCTCGCCGTCTCGTCCTTGCAATCCTGCGCCTAATTTTCCTGCGCGCGCGGCCTGCTGAGATCCTGACATCGCAGAAAGGTGTCGGCCTGCTCGTTGCCGGAAGGAACTGATGTGTGATTTTTACGCCAGCCGCGAGCCATGGAGTTAAGGTCGCGAGGCGTTTCGGGGAGGTAGCACAGGGGCGACCTTAGCTTATATAGAGTCCGTCTTAAAATAGGCATCATAATTAGGAGTTTATTCATTCGTGCGCGACATAGGGCTAAGCTTTACGCGGCGTTTCGGATTATACCGTCGATTTCGTTTCGCTCGTTTCGTTTCCGACACGTTGCCAGGCGAAACAGGTGCCCTAGAGGCATTAGCCTAGGAATTTAAAGCCTGCTTCAAAGCTTGAGTAGCAGTGAGAACGACTCGAAGGAGGCGTAGGGGCGAGACGACTGTTGAGGCGCTAAGAAGAAGTGGTCAAGTGGGGGAGGCAGAGAGCGCAGGAAGGAGGAGGAGGGGCGAAAGCGCGGCCGTCCATCACGCGACGTGCGGCGTGCGAAGCAGGAGGCATGGCGTCTGCGGGAAGCCAGCAGCATCAGGTACAGCGTGCGCTCGCCGTTGCAAGTTACATGTTACCACAGGCTATGCTCGCAGCACCATGGCGCGCGCCTGTTGCGGAAAACGCGTTGCGCTTGTTGCGGGAGGACGCGGCTGTTGCGGAGTTAGAAGCGCGCATGCGGATAAATATTTAAAAGCTTGTCGTCCGCTCCCCACCTTCTCCCCCTCCCCCCTTCTCCCCCCCCCCCGCCCCCCCCCACTCTGTCGCCTTTCTCCCCCCGCACCCTTCCCTGTTGCGCGGCAGGGTTTGAGTCGCATAGCAGCGGGGCGGCTGCATAAGGAGCTGGCGGAGTGGCAGCGCAACCCGCCCCACGGATTCGTGTACCACCCCAGCGACAATTTGCAGAGGTGTGGTGCTGCATGGGGGGAAACGGGAGGGGAGGATGGGGAGGATTTCGGGGTTGTGTGGGGGGAATCAAAGAAACAACCTTCAGGGGCGTGGTGCTGTGTGTGAGGCAGGGGATAGAGGTAGGAAGGGGGGTGGGCGGAGGGGTGGGGGGTTAGAGACGATTTTTGAGGCGCCTCAGAAATTGAGGGGACGGCGATTAGTGCAACAAAGTGCAGAGACGGATGAGAGGGGATGGATGTGGGATGGACGGGGCGAGAGCGGATGTGTCCAGGCATTGACCCTCACAGATGGCAGTAAGCATTGGTCATCCGCGCTTTCCTTCTATCTGCTCATTTTCAAACCCCACTTCTCCCCTCTCCCTTCGTCTCCCCCTCCCTCTCATCTTCCGGCGTGCATGTGTGTCTCTCAGATGGAGCATAGACGTGCATGGGGCAGCGGGCACCCTGTATGCAGGGGAGGTGTTTCAGCTGCAGGTCGACTTCCCCTCCAACTACCCCCTCGAGGCCCCCCAGGTGCGCGTCTCACCGCCCTTCGTTGCTCGCTGCGTCCAATCCCCAGCGTCCTTAGCTGCATTCGTTGTCCAATTCCTGGCGTCCTTCGCTTCTAAAACACCTAATTCTGCGTCGAAGCCAGCCCTCATCGTCATGGTGGCTTGCCACATCCATTGTTCGGGTGTCCATGGCTGCTTGCTGCATCCTCTCCTCGCCTGCATTCTCTCCTCGCCTGCATTCTCTCCTCGCCTGCATTCTCTCCTCGCCTGCATTCTCTCCTCGCCTGCATTCTCTCCTCGCCTGCATTCTCTCCTCGCCTGCATTCTCTCCTCGCCTGCATTCTCTCCTCGCCTGCATTCTCTCCTCGCCTGCATTCTCTCCTCGCCTGCATTCTCTCCGGCATCGCACTGCACCTGTCGTTGTTCCAGCATGCTCGCACCTTGTCCCTTATCCTCATTTCCGCCTGCCTGCCCTTGCCGAATCCCACCTCCACACCACATTCCTGTTTCTCCTTCTCCCGTCCCAATCCATCTTAACATAAACCAACCCGTTCCAGCCCAGCCCAACCGAACACAAATCAACTCAACCTGACCCAATCCATCCCAACCTGACCCACAGGTCATATTCTCGCGCAACCCACCTGTGCACCCACACATCTACAGCAACGGTCACATATGCCTTGGTAGGCCGCATATGCCTTGGCATGCCGCATATGCCTTGGCATGCCGCATATGCCTTGGCATGCCGCATATTCCTTGGCATGCCGCATATGCCTTGGCATGCCGCATATGCCTTGGCATGCCGCATATTCCTTGGCATGCCGCATATGCCTTGGCATGCCGCATATGCCTTGGCATGCCGCATATTCCTTGGCATGCCGCATATGCCTTGACATGCCGCATATGCCTTGGCATGCCGCATATTCCTTGGCATGCCGCATATGCCTTGGCATGCCGCATATGCCTTGGCATGCCGCATATGCCTTGGCATGCCGCATATGCCTTGGCATGCCGCATATGCCTTGGCATGCCGCATATGCCTTGGCATGCCGCATATTCCTTGGCATGCCGCATATGCCTTGGCATGCCGCATATGCCTTGGCATGCCGCATATGCCTTGGCATGCCGCATATGCCTTGGCATGCCGCATATGCCTTGGCATGCCGCATATGCCTTGGCATGCCGCATATGCCTTGGCATGCCGCATGCCGCATATGCCTTGGCATGCCGCATATGCCTTGGCATGCCGCATATGCCTTGGCATGCCGCATATGCCTTGGCATGCCGCATATGCCTTGGCATGCCGCATATGCCTTGGCATGCCGCATATGCCTTGGCATGCCGCATATGCCTTGGCATGCCGCATATGCCTTGGCATGCCGCATATGCCTTGGCATGCCGCATATGCCTTGGCATGCCGCATATGCCTTGGCATGCCGCATATTCCTTGGCATGCCGCATATGCCTTGGCATGCCGCATATGCCTTGGCATGCCGCATATGCCTTGGCATGCCGCATATGCCTTGGCATGCCGCATATGCCTTGGCATGCCGCATATGCCTTGGCATGCCGCATATGCCTTGGCATGCCGCATATGCCTTGGCATGCCGCATATGCCTTGGCATGCCGCATATGCCTTGGCATGCCGCATATGCCTTGGCATGCCGCATATGCCTTGGCATGCCGCATATGCCTTGGCATGCCGCATATGCCTTGGCATGCCGCATATGCCTTGGCATGCCGCATATGCCTTGGCATGCCGCATATGCCTTGGCATGCCGCATATGCCTTGGCATGCCGCATATGCCTTGGCATGCCGCATATGCCTTGGCATGCCGCATATGCCTTGGCATGCCGCATATGCCTTGGCATGCCGCATATGCCTTGGCATGCCGCATATGCCTTGGCATGCCGCATATGCCTTGGCATGCCGCATATGCCTTGGCATGCCGCATATGCCTTGGCATGCCGCATATGCCCTTGGCATGCCGCATATGCCTTGGCATGCCGCATATGCCTTGGCATGCCGCATATGCCTTGGCATGCCGCATATGCCTTGGCATGCCGCATATGCCTTGGCATGCCGCATATGCCTTGGCATGCCGCATATGCCTTGGCATGCCGCATATGCCTTGGCATGCCGCATATGCCTTGGCATGCCGCATATGCCTTGGCATGCCGCATATGCCTTGGCATGCCGCATATGCCTTGGCATGCCGCATATGCCTTGGCATGCCGCATATGCCTTGGCATGCCGCATATGCCTTGGCATGCCGCATATGCCTTGGCATGCCGCATATGCCTTGGCATGCCGCATATTCCTTGGCATGCCGCATATGCCTTGGCATGCCGCATATGCCTTGGCATGCCGCATATGCCTTGGCATGCCGCATATGCCTTGGCATGCCGCATATGCCTTGGCATGCCGCATATGCCTTGGCATGCCGCATATGCCTTGGCATGCCGCATATGCCTTGGCATGCCGCATATGCCTTGGCATGCCGCATATGCCTTGGCATGCCGCATATGCCTTGGCATGCCGCATATGCCTTGGCATGCCGCATATGCCTTGGCATGCCGCATATGCCTTGGCATGCCGCATATGCCTTGGCATGCCGCATATGCCTTGGCATGCCGCATATGCCTTGGCATGCCGCATATGCCTTGGCATGCCGCATATGCCTTGGCATGCCGCATATGCCTTGGCATGCCGCATATGCCTTGGCATGCCGCATATGCCTTGGCATGCCGCATATGCCTTGGCATGCCGCATATGCCTTGGCATGCCGCATATGCCTTGGCATGCCGCATATGCCTTGGCATGCCGCATATGCCTTGGCATGCCGCATATGCCTTGGCATGCCGCATATGCCTTGGCATGCCGCATATGCCTTGGCATGCCGCATATGCCTTGGCATGCCGCATATGCCTTGGCATGCCGCATATGCCTTGGCATGCCGCATATGCCTTGGCATGCCGCATATGCCTTGGCATGCCGCATATGCCTTGGCATGCCGCATATGCCTTGGCATGCCGCATATGCCTTGGCATGCCGCATATGCCTTGGCATGCCGCATATGCCTTGGCATGCCGCATATGCCTTGGCATGCCGCATATGCCTTGGCATGCCGCATATGCCTTGGCATGCCGCATATGCCTTGGCATGCCGCATATGCCTTGGCATGCCGCATATGCCTTGGCATGCCGCATATGCCTTGGCATGCCGCATATGCCTTGGCATGCCGCATATGCCTTGGCATGCCGCATATGCCTTGGCATGCCGCATATGCCTTGGCATGCCGCATATGCCTTGGCATGCCGCATATGCCTTGGCATGCCGCATATGCCTTGGCATGCCGCATATGCCCTTGGCATGCCGCATATGCCTTGGCATGCCGCATATGCCTTGGCATGCCGCATATGCCTTGGCATGCCGCATATGCCTTGGCATGCCGCATATGCCTTGGCATGCCGCATATGCCTTGGCATGCCGCATATGCCTTGGCATGCCGCATATGCCTTGGCATGCCGCATATGCCTTGGCATGCCGCATATGCCTTGGCATGCCGCATATGCCTTGGCATGCCGCATATGCCTTGGCATGCCGCATATGCCTTGGCATGCCGCATATGCCTTGGCATGCCGCATATGCCTTGGCATGCCGCATATGCCTTGGCATGCCGCATATGCCTTGGCATGCCGCATATGCCTTGGCATGCCGCATATGCCTTGGCATGCCGCATATGCCTTGGCATGCCGCATATGCCTTGGCATGCCGCATATGCCTTGGCATGCCGCATATGCCTTGGCATGCCGCATATGCCTTGGCATGCCGCATATGCCTTGGCATGCCGCATATGCCTTGGCATGCCGCATATGCCTTGGCATGCCGCATATGCCTTGGCATGCCGCATATGCCTTGGCATGCCGCATATGCCTTGGCATGCCGCATATGCCTTGGCATGCCGCATATGCCTTGGCATGCCGCATATGCCGTTGGCATGGCCGCATATGCCCTTGGCATGCCGCATATTGGCCCTATCTTGGCATGCCGCATATGCCTTGGCATGCCGCATATGACCTTGGCATGCCCGCATAATGCCTTGGGCATGCCGGCATATGCCTTGGCATGCCGCATATGAATTGGCATGCCGCATATGCCTTGGGCATGCCAGCATATGCCTTGGCATGCCAGCATATGCCTTGGCATGCCGGCATATGCCTTGGCATGCCGCATATGCCTTGAATGGCCGCATATGCCGTTGGAATGCCTGCATATGCCTTGGCATGCCGCATATGCCTTGGCCCATATGCCTTGGCAGGCCGCATATGCCTTGGCAGGCCGCATAATGCCTATGGCATGCCATATGCATTGGCATGACCATATGCCTTGGCATGCCGCATATGCCTTGGCGATGGGTGGCCAGCATATGCCTTGGCCATGCCGCATATGCCTTGGCTCATGCCGCATATGCCTTGGCAATGCCGCATATGCCTTGGCATGCCAGCATATGCCTTGGCATGATGCCGCATATGCCTTGGCATGCCGCATATGCCTTGGCATGCCGCATATGCCTTGGCATGCCGCATATGCCTTGGCATGCCGCATATGCCTTGGCATGCCGCATATGCCTTGGCATGCCGCATATGCCTTGGCATGCCGCATATGCCTTGGCATGCCGCATATGCCTTGGCATGCCGCATATGCCTTGGCATGCCGCATATGCCTTGGCATGCCGCATATGCCTTGGCATGCCGCATATGCCTTGGCATGCCGCATATGCCTTGGCATGCCGCATATGCCTTGGCATGCCGCATATTCCTTGGCATGCCGCATATGCCTTGGCATGCCGCATATGCCTTGGCATGCCGCATATGCCTTGGCATGCCGCATATGCCTTGGCATGCCGCATATGCCTTGGCATGCCGCATATGCCTTGGCATGCCGCATATGCCTTGGCATGCCGCATATGCCTTGGCATGCCGCATATGCCTTGGCATGCCGCATATGCCTTGGCATGCCGCATATGCCTTGGCATGCCGCATATGCCTTGGCATGCCGCATATGCCTTGGCAT